TATGCTAAATTCCTCCCATCCCATTGTGTATGTCAGGACCTATCATCTGGAGCAACAATCGAAAGTGCTAAGGAGTACGAGGGGCTCTACTATTTCAAAGTCTCTACTTGAGTGGGTAAATCACCAATTGTTGATAACTCTGTATTTACCTCTAAAGTTAATAATTTTATGTTGTGGCATAAGAGGATGGGCCATCCTAATTTTCATTACCTTAAACAATAGTTTCCAACCCTATGTCCAAACTTGAATGTTAATAACATTCATTATTAAGTGTGTGAACTTGCCAAACACCATAGAATATCCGTTCCTAGAGCCACATACACACCACCAAACCTTTCACAACCATTCATAGTGACTTATGGGAAGCTTCTCATACTCCTAACCGCACTTAACGTGGTTTATTTCCTTCATTGATGATCATACTCGTGTTTATTGGGTCTATCTTTTAATAAACAAGTCTGAGGTTGCATCCACATTCATCAATTTCTTCAACATGATCAAAACCCCATTCAACACCACCATTCAAGTCTTAAATATCAATATCATTGAATACTTTACCAATATTTGAGTACTTTCCTCCAAACACATGGCATTGTCCATATTTGTTCTTGTGCCTATACACACTCAACAGAATGGGGTTACTAAAAGAAAAAATTGCCATATACTTAATGTTGCTAGAGCACTTATGTTTACTTGCAATGTACCTAAATTTTATTAGGGGGATGCCATTTTGACTACAACCTACCAAATCAACCGTATGCCCAGTGGAACCTTATCCTTTGAAACTCCTCTCCACAAGTTGAAAAGTATTTTCTCAACATCCCATATTAAAACTAATCTTCCACTTCGTGTGTTTGGTTACACAACCTTGCAAAATATAACCACCAAAGCACTAAACTTAAACCTTGCACTATTAAATGCATTTTCCTTGGTTATTCTACTACAAAAAAAGGATACAAATGTTTTGACCCTATCTCAAAATATACATTTGTCACTCTCGATGTCACCTTTCATGAGGATATTCTTTTTTATCCCAATCCTTCGATTCAAGGGCAAAGCATGGATAAATCTCAAACTTGGGATCAAGAACCTAATCGAGAACTAGTGCTCCTTGAACCATGATTTACACCAATTGAGCCAGTACTACCATCACCTCTTAAGTCTTTACCTTCACCTATTCTACCTGCACCACCATCTCCTGTTATGCCACCATCTAAAGAGCATAAGCGAGGAGAAGATGCAGAAAAACCACAAAAGGGAGAATTGCTTGTTTACGCTCGAAAAAAGAAATCAAAAGATAATGAGCAACTTGTACCTGAAGCACCAAGAGAGTCAAAACCAAAGGCAGCTCCTGAAGCAAATACTTATAGAGGATTAGAATTTAAGGGAACTTCTGAAACCCTAAAGATAGATGATACAGAACAAGTGAATCTACTAATCCTGACCTTCCTATTGCTTTGAGGAAGCCAGCTCACTCATGTACTTTCTATCCAATAGAAAAGTTTGTTTCATACAATGCACTTTCACCTCAATATCGGGCTTTTGTTGCTAATCTTGATAAAGAGAAGTTACCTAAGACTATACAGGAAACTCTAAGCATCCTTGAATGGCGAAGTGCTATCATGGGAGAAATAAGAGCCCTAGAAAAGAATGGGACATGGAAACTTGTTTAGCTACCTTAAGAAAAGAGAACAATGAGCTGTAAGTGGGTGTTCACCCCAAAATACAAGACTGATGGAACTCTTAACAAGCTGAAAGCATGCTTGGTTGCAAGGCCTTTGTTTATATCCACCATAACAATAAACTCGAACCTCAAGCTATCAAGTGCATCTTCCTTGGCTATTCGCCTACTCAGAAAGGATACAAATGTTTTGATCCTGTTTCTAAATGCAACCATGTAAGCTTTGATGTTACCTTCCATAAAGAAACTCTTTTCATTTCAATTCTTTCAATTCAGGGGGACAGTGAATCTCAGACTTGAGAACCAGAACCTTACACAGAATATGTACTTCTTGAGCCCTCACCAAAATCATTACCCACACCATCTTTTTCGTCAAACACCCCACCTTCAACAACCTCTTCTCTTATGCTAAAGCTTCGAAAAAACAAGAAAACAAAGGGAGATGAAGAAAGACCACAAAAGGAAGAGTTATCAATGTACACTCAGAAGAAATTAAAAGATAATGAACAACTTGTATTTGAGGCACCAAGAGAGTCAAAACCGAAGGACTGATCCATCTAGTGAGCCAAATGATTCAACACAAGGAAGTCAATCTGCTGAACTTGATCTACCTATTGCTCTCCAGAAACTAGTGATTTTAAAACCAAACCGGACCAGATGGTCCGACCGTCGACTGGTCTGGATTCTAGTTCGATCAATATATGAAAACCATTTTAGAGGTTAAGACAGGGTTAGGCCGTTTCTGGCTAGTGTCAAACCGGGAACCAAATCCAGTTTTCAAGAACCGGACCGTTCAAAAAAAAAAATTTTTAATTTTTTTATTGAATTTTTGTTTAGGAAATGACCAATTTTTTTAATCATTTGATATTATATTGCATCATGTGGCTTGTTAAGTCATGATAAACTTAAAATATTTGATTTTTGTTTTAAGTTAAGTAGCAATTTCATATTTATTTCTTATATTTAGATTATTATATACATATATAATTTTAAAAATTTAATTATTACGCCACCGATTTGACTATTAGTCCAATCCAATTGAACCATGCGAACCGTGAACCGCTGACCTTTCCAGTTCAATGTTCGGTTCGATTCCGAAAACATTGCCAGAAACAACCTCGGCCTTGTACTTTACATCCGATTTAAAAGCATGTATCCTACAAGGCTCTCTCTCCTGGTTACCAAGCCTTCATCACTAATTCAGATAAAATTGTTATTCCTAACAACATCTAAGAGGCACTAGAAATACCAAAATGGAGATGGAGGAAATGAGAGTTTTAGAGAAAAATGGAACATGGGAGATGGTTGAAAGACCTAGATGTAAGAAACTAGTTAGTTGCAAGAAGGTCTTTACCCCAAAGCATAAGGCTGATAGTACACTTGACAAGTTAAAGACACGATTAGTAGCAAAGGGTTTCACCCAAACATATGGTATAGACTACAACGAGACGTTTACACCAGTGGCAAAACTAAACATTATCAAGATTCTATTGTCAATGGCAACCAACCTTGAATGGTCACTTCATCAACTAGATATCAAGAAAGCCTTTCTAAATAGAGAATTGAAGGAAGAAGTATACATGACTTTACCTCCGAGGTTTGATAGAGGAAGAAGTAACAAAGCATGTCAGCTGAAAAAATGCTTATATAGCTTGAAACAGTCACTTAGAGCATGGTTTGACAAGTTTTCAAAGGTTCTAAAGTTAGAAGGCTGCAAACAAGGATTATCAAATCATACGATATTTGTTAAGGCTGAGGGAGCTAAGAAGTGCATCCTCATTGTGCATGTAGACGATATAATTCTTACAAAAGAACATGTTGAGGAAATAGCAAGGATAAAGACTGCCCTTGATAAGGAATTTGAAGTCAAGGATCTTGAGAACTTGAAATATTTTATCGGGATGGAAGTTGCAAGGTCAAAACAAGGCATATATGTATCTCAAAGGAAGTATATACTTGATCTTCTCAAGAAAACGAGCATGTTGGGTTGTAAACCTAAGGGAACTCCTATTGTGGTCTCAAGAAAGAAGAAGCCTGAGAAAACAGTAAGGTGGAGTTAGAAGGAGAAGACAACTGATCAGAGGACAATTGAGATCTATACAAATGCAAATTGAGGGGGGGACTGTGGAGACAGGAGATCCGCCTCTGGCTATTGCTCATTTGTGTGGAGAAAAATAGAGAGTTGTATCGGGAAGCAATGCTAAAACAGAATTGAGAGCATTAGCTCAAGGGATTACAGAAGAACTGTGGATAAAGAAGGGCCATGGAAGAAATACAAGTTAGAATTGATCCACCAATGAAGTTGTATTGTGATAACAAGGATGCCATAAGCATGGCATTAAATCCTGTACAACACAAGAGATCTAAACATATTGAAGTGGACAAGCATTTTATCTGAGAGAGAGTAGAGGAAGGCATTGTATGTTTAACATACCTACCTACAAAGTTACAAGCTGCTGATGTGCTCACTAAAGGATTACCTAAGCCTGCCTTTGAAAGCTATATAAGTAAGTTGGACATAATTAGCATCTACAATCCAACTTCAAGGGGAGTGTGGGAATATTATGTCATTATTGTGAATAATTAACATTTATTAGCATTATTAGGCTTTCTTCATATTTATTAGGTTTTATCTCACTTGATGTGTATATATAGCACGAGTTTGTACATTAGAATATACATGAATGAGAAATTCAATTTTCCTCTCTCAAAATACCGCATAATGTTTTGACCAAATGGTTACTTAGACCTGCATTTGAGAATTACACAAATAAGTTGAACATGATTAGTATCTACAATCCAATTTGAGGGGGAGTGTGGAAATATTTGATATTTCTAGTAAATATTATCTCTTAGTGTACAGCTTTTATCAGTATTTATTAGACTTTATTAGATATTATTAGTAATTATTTCCCTTCTTGTATATATAGTCAACATGTACCTCAATATTATTTATCAACCGAGAAATATTTTCTCTCAATTTCCACACCATACTCTGTATTTGCACTAAGGTAACACATTTCGGAATGTATCCAGGTCTATGAATTTTATTGTAGATTTACAGGTTCAACGATGGGAAATGTAGTACTCAAACTCTAATCATCCCAAGTGATGAATGATGGGTAGTTTATAAGATGCGTAAGTTCAAACCATTGCTCTGCCATGTACCCAAAACAAGAAAAAGAACAAATTAAAAAAAATACACCCTATTTAACACTACTTAAATATACTTGGATCAATTGATCATAGTCAATCAAGATTCCAAAGATGAGCTTTAAATGAAACTAAATAATTCCATAAAAAGTGTAAGAAAAAGTACCCTAAACCAGTGATAAACTGAAACGCCTTCTTCGCCACCCCAATAATTCTTTTCAACACTGAGGCTTGTTCCTTCAATAGCATCTCCAACTATCTGTAAAGAAAGCAATATGGGGCTTCCTGGTCATCAAGAAGCAACTTCGGTAAGAGAATTAATCCATATAAGAAACATAAGAATCTCAACCATAACAATTATTTATCAATACAATATTACTACCCCCAGCATAAATAACTTTTTTGAAAGCTCAAGTCTAAAATATAAATCACCTTTTAATCATTAAATGTTCATTTGCCACAAATACACCTATTTAAAGCTTGAGAGTCAACAAATAGTGAGAAAAAGTATGCAATCAAAACTTGATTCATTAACATTGAGGACAATCTTGGAAAAAAATTTCAAATTTGGAACACATTCAATGAGAAAAACTAATCTTAACCACTTTTTTAATATGTGTGAGGTAAGTAATTGTCCTTTACATTTGAGGCCAAAGGTAGTAACATGCTATTCTAATATTCCCAACAAAAACAAAGAATGAACGCAAGTATTGATTTTGGAAATGCCACAAGAAAACCAATTAAAAAAATGTCCTCAAAGATAACCAATAAAAACAATTTTTTTTTCTCTGAAGCAATATAAATAAATTTGTAGACCTCTTTATAATATTCGAGAATTTAATTTTTACTTTAAAATTCAATATTTTAGAATTTAATTTTTATTTAAAAAATCACAACTTAAAATAATATATAATTTTTAAACTTGTAAATTTAACAAGAAATATCTTGTAAAAAATGTCACACTTGTTTATATATATATACATATAACGAAAAATTTTTAGAGTCTTGTTAAAATTTGCCATCATGGATTCCATAACTATATGAGAATGCCTTACCAGGGCGAACACGCTCCTTCCCTATGCAAGTTCTTGCAGCACCTACATTACCATCATCACGTATTGGTGTGCATTGGAATGAAATGAATTTTCCAATGGCATCTTTAGAAATTCGATATTGCAGAAGTCCTGTAACCTCTGGTATCAAAGAACCAAAATCCGTTTCAACCTATAGAATGCAAAAAGTTATTATTCAATGAAACAAAAGATTAACTTTAACAAGGTGTTATAGAATGTTGCTACATTATAGAAGATCCTTGTAAATATTCTAGTAACCCATATAATAGTCAAAGGCTTGACATTAGGCCATTACTTAACATCCAGAAGAGTTAAAAGACAAGGAGATCCACTATCACCTTACTAGTTTATTTTGTGTGCAGATGTGTTATCGTCAATTATATCTCTTTTCCAACAAAGGAAGGAATGGAAAGGGACAAGGCTTGGGAGAAAATGTGTGGAGGCTTCACATCTATTCTATACAGACAACATTATCATGTTCTTCTTAATAGACAAAGATCATTGCTCAACACCTCAAATGGTTTTGTCTTTTTATGAATCCCTTTAGTAAAAAAAAATGTTTTTCAAAGTCAGAGCTTATTTTTAGTTGTAATAACCTGCCGACATCAAAATAGTGAAATATATGCTTTGCCAAATGCTAGGGATGGAATAATCCTCCTTTCTTGGCAAGTGCTTAAGAGTGCATGTGGATATTGGAAGAAATAAAACTCAGACAATGCTAGGATATGATGGATAAGGAGGTTGATAAGCTCAAAGCTTGGAATGCAAAAATCATGTCACAAGAGCCAAATTGAATCTTTTAAAATCAACCATTCACCACCCCTTAATTTTCCAACTATATTGCAAAAACATCCCTTCAAAATCGTATGACCTCCTAGATGCACACTGAGGTGGTTCAATCTAGGGGTTTTCTAACAACAAAGCATGCATGCATGCATCTTGTAAATGAACTTCTATCCATCAACCCATCAAACTAAGGAGGGTTGGGGGTTTGTTCTCAAACTATGAATGATGCTCTTTTGGCCAAGCATTTATGGAAGATTATTGATTGTGGAATATTTAGAAGAAAATATATTTATCTAATTGATTTAGAATAGTGTAATACATATGAGAATTTATACATCAAGATGAAAGACAATGTAATAATGACAAATAAATACTAATAACAACTAATAACTCCTACTAACATACAATAATTACAATATCTCCAAACTTCCCCTTAAATTGGATCATACATGTTAACCATGTCCAACTTGTTTATGCCACTCTCAAATGTGGGCTCAAGAACCCCTTAGTCAAAAAATCTACAGCTTGAAGATTGATGGGAAAATAAACAAACAAAAGGTTCTTTCTTTCACTTTTTCTCTAATGAAATGCCTATATAACTTCACATGTTTGGATTTCTCATATTGAATAAGATTCAAGGCTTTGCTTATAGCTGCCTTATTGTCACAATAAAGTTTTAGTGGTAAGTCCACTTTCACATGTATCTCCTCCAAGACTCATTTCAACCACAATTCTTCCATTATTTCTTAAGCCAGCACTCTTAATTCAGAATCAACATTGCTCTTAGAAACAACTCTTTGCTTTTGACTCTTTCAAGTAACTAGATTTCCCTAAACAAATGAACAATAACCAGAGGTTGATCATCTATCAAGATGAGTTCCTCCCCAATCTGCATCTGTGTAAATTTCTATGGTTCTTTGTTTATATTTCTAGAGGAATAATCCTCTACCAGAAGTACCTTTTAGATATCTCAATCTTGTAGGCTTCTTCCATATGTTTCTTCTTCGACTCAAACATGTATTGGCAAGCAACACTTACTGCAAAAACAATATCTAGTCTTGTATGGGAGAGATGAATCAACTTCCCAACAAGTCTCTAGTATCTTTCTTTGTCAGCAGCCTCTTCTTACACATTATCTTCATCTTCTTCAACATCATCAAAATTGTCGTCATCTTTTGACTCTTTCTTATTCTTCTTAGGTTTCTTTTTCCTCCAAGAGTTTCAGCAAGCCTATAACCCAATAATCAATATACCTATTTCCTTTAGTAGATCAAGTATATACCTCCTCTGAGATGCATAAATATTTTTCTTTGACCTTGCAACTTCAATGCCAAGAAAGTATTTCAAGTTCTAAGGTCATTGACCTCGAATTCCTTTCCAAGAGCAGTCTTCACCCTTATTATTTCCTCAAAATGATCTCACATGAGAATTATGTCATCAACATACATAATAAGGATGCATCTCTTACCTCCCTCAGCTTTAACAAACATTGTATGGTCTAGCAATCCTCGCTTGTAGCCCTTTAGCTTTAGGACTTTCAAGAACTTGTCAAACCAAGCCCTAAGAAATTGCTTCAAGCCATATAGAGATTTTTTCAACCTGCACACTTGATCACTTATGCTTTTATCAAATCCTGGAGGTGAAGTCATTTAGACATCTTCTCTTAGTTTTCCATTTAGGAAGGCATTATTGATGTCAAGTTGATAAAAGCAGCCATTCTAGGTTAGTTGCAACATATAATAGAACCCTAATGGTGTTCAATTTTTTCATTCATGCAAAAGTTTCTTTATAGTCAAAACCATATGTCTAAGTGAATTTTCTTGCTACCAAGCGTGCTTTTAGCTTGTCAAAAGTACCATTAGCCTTATATCTTGAGGTAAAAACCCACTAGCAATTTCCAAGCTTCTCGCTACTAGGCCTTTAAACAATCTCCCATGTTTCATTTTTCTTTAAAGCTCTCATTTCCTCCATAACTTCATTTTTTCATTCTAGCATTTCCATTGCCTCTTGACTCTTGTTAGAAATGTCAACTTTATCCAAATTAGTAACAAAGGCTCGGTAACTTGGAGAGAGGGCCCTATAGGACATATGCTTCTAAACTGGATGGAAAGTACAACAACAATGTTGTTTTCTAAGAGCGATAGGTAAATCATGATCGAATTAACCACAAACCTATCCAGGGATTTGCAAAGGCAAAGGTGGCTTTGGAGCAAATTCCTTATGAACTACCGCTAGTTTTGACTCCTTTGGTGCTTAAAGTATATAGTGCTCTCCTTCATTGGATTTATGCTTCTGTGCATAAACTATGAGGTCTTTGTTTTTCTGCACCTCTACAATGCCTCTTGCTTTTGAGTTGTCTTATGTGGCCAACTCAAGAGATAGAAAATAAGGATTTGATAAGGGTGAGGCAAGGGTAGTAGTGAAAATTCTGATGGATTTGGTAATGGTAAAGGCTCTGATGATGTAAACCAAGAATGAAGGAGTACTCATTCTCCATTAGGCTCTTGTTCCCAAGCCTAAGATTCATCTAAGTTCTCCTCCTAAATTGAAGAATTGGGATAGAACAAAATGTCTTCATGAAAGCTGACATCAAGGCTCACAAATGTGTGCTTAGAAACGGGGTCATACCATTTGTATCCTTTTTTAGTAGAAGAATAGCTAAGAAATATGCATTTGGTAGCACGAGATCTAAGTTTACTGTTTTGGTGGATGTGGACAAAGGTTGTGCAACCAAACACATGAAGAGGAAGATCTATTTCAATATGAGATGTCAAAGAAACACTTTGCAATTTTTTAAGAGGAGTATCAAAGGATAAGATCTGACTAGGCATTCAATTGATGAGGTATGTTGCAATTAAAATGGTATCCCCTAGTAAAAATTGGGTGCATTGAAAGTAAACATGAGGGCTCTACTAACATCAAGAATATGTATATTTTTACTTTTGGCAATCCCATTTTGTTGGGGTATAAGAAAAGTAGTCAATGATTGGTTGAAATACTCAGTGCCATTGTTGCTGTGAAGAACTTGGATTGTTGTATTGAACAGGGTTGGTATCATGGTGAAGTTTATGAACACAGATGCGGCCTCAAACTTTTCTTTTAAAGGATAAACCTAACAAACATAAATATGGTCCTCAATAAAGGTAAATAACCATTTGCTTTGGTATGGTTTGGAGTACAAGATGGCCTCCATAAGTCATTATGCATAGTAGTAAAAGGCTTGGCAGGTGTGCACTTGATTCTAGGAAATGATGTACGGTGGTGCTCCGCTATTTCGCACACTTCAGATGTCACATCAGGGTTAGCTAATAGAAGTTAGGATGACCTATTCTCTAGTGCTAATAGAAGTTAGAATTATATACACTTGTGACTTGCTGGTTACTCACTTCAGCATTTACAAAGTAGAGACCCTCATACTCTATACCACGGCCAATTGTCATCCTCGATAGATCTCAAAAAACACAATGAGTTAGGAGAAAATTAGTACAACATTTGGATTGCTTTGTCAATTAATTAACAGACAAGTTACATGCTAATTTTGGCACATGTAAGACAAATTCAAGAGTAATAGGCTCTAAAATATGAATACTTCCTTTTCCAACAATAGGAGTAAGAGACCCATCTACAATCTTAACTTTCAATTCCTCAACACAGGGAATATAAGTTGAAAACAATTCATGGTAATCGGTAGTATGATCCGATGCTCCAAAGTCAACAATCCACAAAGTTTTGCTTTGGGATGTTTTAAAGGCTTGAAGAAAATTACCTTTTCATGCCAAAAAGACAAACATTGAGTTTGAAAGCTAACCTATAACTACTATGTCAGGTTCAACAATTCTAGATGTTGGTTTACGCTTCCTCATCACCAATTCTCAACACAAAACAAGAATTCTATTACACATCAAATCTACAAAGTTGAGACATGTTACCAAGTGGACCAACAGCATCAAACCTATAAATGCTCTCAGATCTCCCACGGTCTCTGTTCCCATTTATTGCTAGTGGTAGGTACAATCAACTACCAAAGTGCAAAGATGAAGCACCCACATGTCCAACACCCACAAATTACACCAAAAATAGCCCATTGTCATTAGAGAAGATAACTGTCACTGGAGAGAAGTAGTTAAGTGCCGTGGTGTCTTCATTGTTCCAAATTCTTTGAAGGGGCCATGTGACATGCGTGCGCCACCGTTGGCCTTGTCGTTCCTCAGTCACATCAATCAGGGGCAACTGATTCTCCCCTTGCTAGCAACGAGAGCTAGTATACTCCACTTTATTGCATGACAGAAGCACGATGAATTTCAGGATGAATGTCTTTGCAAAATAAAAACCCTAATTCAGCCTTTTTGCTATGATACCATGTGGAATATTTGGGAGAAAATATATTTTGCTAATTGATTCAAAATATTGAGACACATATGAGAATTTCTACATCAAGATGAACGACAATGTAATAATGACAAATAAATACTAATAAAGACCAGTAAAAAATAATAACTCCTAATAATTTACAATAATTAAAGTATCTCCACATTGATAATGTACAATGTGAATTCCTAACTTTAGATGTTGGTCCTCATGTTAAGAGTAAGGTGAACCAAGAAGTTTTTGTGAAGGAAAATGGATTATAATGGAATTGGAAAGGTATCTTGAAAACAAAATACTTGATTAAACTCTATGATGAAATATAAGAATTAATGTTTTGAAGAAACCTCCTATAGGAAAAAACCTAGGCTAGTAGCTTATTATCGTTCTATTTTGCTTTAGCTTGTAAGAAACCTATTTAAGCTCGTAGCTTATTATCATTTGTAAAGAGGGAACTCTGAACATTATCTTTATATAGACAAGTTATTAAGGTTTCCTTAATGGGTAAGAGAGCTTAGTTTAAATAGAATAGGTTTGCACTTGTAATGGTAGACTAGATGAATGAGAAGTATTTTGAGTAAATTCTGATTGCTCTCTCCCTTCAGTTCTACGTTCTCTCTCTTTTCCTCCTCCATCTCTATTTCTGCCTCTAAACTCTCCCCCTATTTTGTTCTCTTCTCCCAGCTCTCTCCCTCTGTTAGGATCTTTGCTAATGTGTGTGTGAGTTTGTGTTACATCTCTCTACCTCTCATGGAAGGTCAGATTTGGTAAGCTTATACCAATCAACCACCTATTATGATGGCCTACGCTGTCTATTCCACTAGATGGGATTCATATGGTGTTTAATCTAACCAAGCATATCAAGCATGAATGGAATCAAGTGGCAGATGGATCTATGGTATAAAGAAGGGATATCTATCAGCAAAAGGCCAAGGGGATTATCAAGATCCCCACAAATCTTGGAAGCATTTTGCAAAATGAGTCTTACTCAAAGTTTTCATCCAAACTTGGAAAGTTCTGAATAGTGATATTGGTTGGACAAATCCTCCCAACACACCACCTTATTAGCACCTCATGTCCCATATGCGGATAACATGCAGAAATCCTTGATCGCCTTTTCCTTCATTACCACTGGGCTAGAGACATATGGTTTGTCACACCCTTGACAATCAAGATGGATTATATCTAGTGTGGAAGTCCTGTAGTGAGGTTCAAAGGATGGCTTGCTCACCATGATTCATGAGATGAGGAGTAGGAGGACCACACCAAAGTAAACATGGTTGTCACCTATTCCATTTGGAAAAGCTACGAGTGGTGGTCATTCACAGAGGGAGAAACCTAGCCCAGATGTGGTATGCTTTTGGATTAATCATATTCTTCATTGGTCATCTTTAATTGCTCTAGGAAAGCAGAAGGTTTTGACTATAAGTACCTATGTTGACCCTGCTTGATTCACTGGATTGGCTTCTAAGAAAAAATGTAGTTTTGAAAAAAGGATGGCAACTAGTGTGGAACAGTGTAATAGTATCTGTACAACGGCACTAGAGAATTAAAATTCAAGTGGTTTTATTTCACTGTGGTAGGTTGGTTTCTTTCCCTTGCATAAGTTCATTGGGATCAACATGCCATGGTGTGCATCAAATTTTTTGGACCATGATGGGGAACTTTTATTGATTATTTTGTCATCATCTGCCCAGTTTCATGCTTTTGTACATTAAGATAAATTGTTGCAACTCACTTGACTATGACATCAGATGCTTAAGCTTTTATTTTTCACCCTGCAAGGTAAGATTTATTCACTTCTTAATAGACTTTTGAGGCCTTACGCCCAAAGTCTATCCTTTAAGCTCCAATTTGTACTTTCCTTTATTTTGTACTATTTTTCCAATTATTAAAAAGAGGACAGAATACAAATTATTTTAAAAATTGTTCAACAAAGAATATTTTATTTCTGAATTGAAAAATGAAACAGTCATTAATATTACAAATTATCCACAAAAGCCACAAGTGAAACAACTAGTGAATAAATTATAAAAGGCCATTGAACACATTATAAAAGAAAGCAAACATTGGTCTCTTCATTGAGGAGGATAGATTGAAAGAAGTTGCTACAAAAACTAAACAGATCTTGGAGATTAGCTACCATAAAATTTGTTGAACTGCAACATATATAGAAATGCACATACACCCACATGTAAATGCATACCTCATGAAGATACCAATTGTATATGCTTTTTCCTTCGTGACCTCCAACATATCCATAAGAAGCTGTCAACATTCCACCTTCAACATAATCTCCGGTGATAGATAAGAAATTCAAGCTTGGTGGAAGAGCTGCCAAAAAAAAAGAACAAAAAGAAAGTCATGATGTCAAATATCAACCTTTGTTGTGTTTCAAGAAAAAGATATATGTTATTAAAGCCAATCTAGTTAATGAATATATTTTCTTTTCTTTTTTCAGTGAAGAATATCATGTACTTGTTGGCATCACATAGTACGCTAGAAATGCTAAGGAAAGGGAGAGGTGCAAGGATAAATAAACATACTCTCAACAACTCTCTCAGATATTACATATGCAGGTTCGCCACATATACCATCAGGCGTCATTGGAATAAATTTAGTAACAATGTAATAGCCAACAGCTCCAAGAGGTATGCGAAATGCCTGATCAGACCAAAACCCAACAAAAACCATTTCTATGAGAGAAAACATTCCAGTTAAAGAATCAAAGTAACTCAAGATGATACCAAAAAAAAAAAACCTACTTTAGCAATTTTGGAAGTGCTTAATGTTTCAAGACTGCTTTCACCATCAAAAGTTGATGAACATGTTTTAAACCACTGAACTCTGCTAGATCCTTCATTTCCTCCAGTAACAATACCTGTCACAATGACCTTGCTATTCTCTCGCAGGTCACCAATTATTTTGACATTTGTCACCTTAGGGGGAGCTGGAAATTGGCAAAGAGAAAGAAGTATCATAAGATAAAATTTCAATGACAGGCAACCTTTTAAGTGCAAAATTAACAATAATTTTTACATTTAAAATAATCTTTATAACCAATTCCCACAAGCTAGAAAAAGAATTGAAAATCAGAGAACATATAGACACATGGTCATTTATGTATAGTATGAAAATATAAGCGCAGGAATAGATACTGTTGAATTTTGACCAACATAGTTTAAATGATTTTTATTCCCCATGAATGTAGGGCAAGGCCTCTTATTAATTGCCCTTAAGACAGCGTGAGTTTATAATAATACCCCTAAAATTAATAGAAATGTATAAAAAAGTCCCTAGGAATTAGCTATTTACAATAAGACAAACAAAAACATATTATAATTTCACAAAACCTCTCTCAAGCTAAAGAGTACATATTGATCATATCCAATTTGGACAAGTGACCATCAAACTAGGTTCATGGAACAGCTTTGGTTCATAGAATATCAGCTATTTATTGATGTGCAGGTGAATAAATCACCTCAATAAGTCCCTCTCCTCTCTTTTCTTCGACAAAATACCAGTCAATTTCAACACGTTTAGTTTATCATGATGGATGAGGTTCTTCACAGTTTTTATTGCAACATGATAATTCAAGGAAAGTAAAGTATGGAATCGTGGTTCTTCAAGGAGTCCTTTTAACCATATAACTTCGCAGATTCCATTAACCATGGCCTCAAGTTCAGCCTAAGTGCTACTTCAAGCCACAAATGACTACCCGTTGTTTCTCCAAGTCATAAGATTACCTCATACAAGGGTACAATAGCTGAACTGAGGACTTTCAGGGCTGGGACATGCGGCTTCACCAGAGAGGTAGGCTTACTTGCCTTTGCCGATAACAAAGAGCTTGACATTGTTGCTTCATTGTAAGTGTTCTAATTGTTGAAATGGTGTGGCGCAATGAAAACTGGACTAGGGTCACTCAATGAAGACGGCACTTATGGGACCTAAACTTTAGGGTTGGGCAGGGATGGAATTCCCTCCTCATCAAGCTCTGATCTATTCTTTCTCTTGGTCAGTAATTCAAGGCTATGACATCATCATGAACAATTAGAGTGAATAAACCCAACGAAAATTGTGTATTGCTCCCTAGTGAGCGCTGGATTTTATTATTGAATGCTAACAATATATTACAACAGTGATATGTGAATAACATTGCAGGGATTTTTAATAGATACAATACAATCAGATTACAACTAATGAAACATTTACAAGGGAAAAAAAGGTAAAGCCAGAATAAGTTGGGCCTAGGCAACCCTATAGCTCAAGAGTCAAGTGATTGCTAACTAGCACTACAAAGATATACTCCTATGGTCCTATTTATAATTCACTTTCAACTTGTTTCACTGAAATTAAGGAAAACCTTAAAACTCATTAACGCAGTTTAAAAATTTAATAAATTCTCAACTTTGACCCCATTAAATATATACACTTTAACAACATACTTTCTCTCTCCAACATTTAATGAAGGGTTAAAGGAAAAATTTATGATAAAAAATTAAAAATGTGACTTATAAATAAGACCAATAAATAAGAGCATAAAGTTGGAGTAGCAGAAATGAGAATGTTACGATGGATGTGCAGACATACACGTAAAGATAAAATTCGAAATGAGCACGTACCCGAAAAAGCGAGGGTGACACCTATTGAGGAAAAAATGGTAGAAAATCGGTTGAGATGGTTTGGGCATGTACAAAGAAGACCAAGGGAGGCACCAGTGAGAAGAGTGGAACACATAACTTTGAGTCCGATTAAGAGAGGTAGAGGAAGGCCTAAGAGAATACTCTTGGAAGTTATTGAACGCGAACTCTTAATTAATAATATTCCTAAAAGCTTGATAAATGATAGAGCACAATGGCGTCTTGCAATCCATGTAGCCGACCCCACCTAGTGGGATAAAAGCTTGTTGTTGTTGTTGTATAAATAAGACCAAAAAAATCTTCTCTCTGTCCTTTCACCTAGTTTTGTTTGGGGCATCAATGGGAGTATCAACAAGCTTACACCCAAGCATACTAATTTCCATAAGCAAGTCAAGAGTGTACTTTCTTAAAGATATAGAAATAGTTTGCTGGACCAAACCACTTCCTTTCCTACAAAGTATTTTAAGGATGCCAAGTCCTTAATCTCAAACTCCTTGTTTAGTATCTTGTTGAGATGAGTGACTTCCTTTTCATTGTTCCACGTAAACTATTAGAACACCAATCTTATCATCAAATAGACAAATACCCTATATGCTATATCTCGTACTGTATAATTATTCAAATAATATGAAAGACTAATCCTTTGAAAAATTCATCTCTTGTAGAATTGAATTGTCTAGAAGCTGTTATTTTCACATTTATTAATTATTAATGATGAGAAATAGGTAACACTTGAAATGATATGGCACCTGATACTAATAGAGTAAACCAGAATGGAAGTAAAGTAGAAACTAAAAGACAACCAAGAAAGGACACGTTGGATTCATCAAGATACCTTGTTTCACCACAGCAGACATTACTGAGGAAGATTTTCCTTCCTGCCCTGAATATTAAACCAACAATTATGTTTCAAATGAGTTTGGAATGAAAAGGAAGAGACTTTCTTAAATTATGTTACAAAGATAAGTGCAGTCCACAAACACGAGACTACTTTTCCAAACCTTCAAAATTAATAGGTATGTAGACAAAAGACAGATAATGGCCAACATCCTCTTTGGTCAAGGTATACTCAGATGTTCCAGCTGATACTAACAGAAAGTCTCTGCATAGCATGCCACAAGAAAACAAGAGGAAGGAGCTGAGAAAACATGGGAAACTTAACAGTCAGATGAATCTGCTTCATTTACAAGAAAAGAAAAGGACACATGCAAGTTTAAAAGTAAGGCCGCTTGCATTGGCAACCTACCGCACATATACAAGTTAATATGTAAGCAAGTTCACATAGATACAGTACTCTTATACACACAAAAGAGAACTGTGCATCCAGGAAATGCATATTGTATTCAACCTTTTTTCTTTTACTTTGTTTAGATAGAAAGACGAAGAAGAGGATAAATGAAAATAGGAAAGATTTGATAAGAATAGAATGGAAATTATCCCAGGAGTTACCTCCTCCTAGGACAAATGCAGCCAACAGAATGTCCCTTCATGCATAAGGGCATGGCCATCTTGGAACCACTGTTCCACCCTATGTTTAAAACTAATTGTAGAGGAGGAGGAGGAGGAGGAGACGGTCTGCAAGATTCTAAGGTACCTGAAGGGATAGCTGGGAAAGGTATACTTTATAGAAAGACTGATAAAACTTTTGTAGAAATGAACGCAGATGATGATTGGGCCAGTGCTCATGGTGATAGAAAATCTACATCAAGCTATTTCACCTATGTATTTCACAAAACCCAATTCAACAATACCAAACCAAACATATGGAAGTTCATAGGCACTTTATAAAGGAGAAAACTGAAGGAGGATTTGTCTCTCTCATCTATGTGCCAACAGGAAGGCAAGCTGCAGACATCTCCACAAAAGCAATGTACAAGGAGAAGTTTGAAGAATTTGTGGGCAAGCTGGAAATGATCGAAATCTACAATCCAACTTGAGGGGAAGTGTAGGAAATATATTTATTAGTCTTATTATTAATTTGTAAATAGTCAAATATCTTTAGGATCCCCACTTCCGTGTAAATCCCTTTGTTCTCTCCCAATTCTAATCTCAGTATTTACTAGTCTATACGAGGCTCAGTGTATATATTGCACTGCTGCTATCTGAATTTTGTATATATTATACTGCTAATATCCAAATAAAATTAGAATATTCTCAGTCATCGACCTCTACTCTCAAATATTTCAAAAGGCTTAGTTGTTAATAAAGTACAATGATGTTGTGCAATCCATATAGTCAACCCACTTAATGTTATAAGGCTTCTTCTTATATCTTCCTTGTGATTATTTTAGATTCTATTTATTTTCAATAAAATAGGATATCTAGGTCACCTAGATTATCTTTTAAGATTTAGGATTTGAACTTGAACTATTATTTTCATGTTTTTTAGGGCTCTATAACTAAAGCTAGGGTTCTTAGTTGTGTTCAGACTTTGATTACTGACTAAAGAATTCCTATGTTCCTGGCGTCCTCTCTTTCTTTTCTCTCTCTTCCTATTTTTTTCTCTCCTTCTCCTTTCTCTTTTCCAATCTTCCCCTTTTTCCCTTTCCATTTCCCATCAATTATGAAATAATATTTTGTATTATAAGAAAGCTTTAGTAGAGTTCAGGAAGCATAAGAAAGCATACGAGAGCCAAAGAGGCTAAAAATAAAACAAAGCTAGTCAATCATTTTGCATGTTGGAGATAGAAAATCCTTCAAAATATCCCAGGGCTGAATACCAAACGGGACAAGTAGACAAAACCAATATGTCAATGGATTGCAAAAAATGCATGTTGCCACAAAAGAGGCCCCTTTATTCTTAACAAAACCTTAAAAATGTAATATGGAAGTTGAGCAATAATTCACTTTCCAATTTACAGAACACACAACAGAGCCAGAATCAGAGAAATATTCTTTAAACATATTGCTCTCATTCCTCTCACTTCAGCATTAAGAGTTGTATACTAACCCAGCATCCTTGTTCCCCCGTAACCATTCAAACCTGCTGGGACCCTCCCTTCCACCAAAATACAGGCCAACACCTTTGATGGTACTTCCTTCAACAAAATCTCCAATTATCTGAACATTCCTGACAGATGGAGGTGCTGCCATGTTAAAAAAAAAATGCAAATCAAAGAGCAATTAGACAATGTCAAGGGAACTAGATCAGCGATATTCATAATCTCACATGTCAAAAACCATCTCACATGTCAAAAACCATAAGTGACACCATAGAGGTTACCAAGATATGTACTATAATAAATGAATTATGGGCCTACTTTATGAATCATAAGTCGTATCAAATTGACAGATTTGGAGACACAGAAAAAAAGTTTGAAATATAACACTATTGAATCAATTGAAAGAATTGTAATTAAATACTTTTCCTAAGCATCATAAACATCTCAACAGCAAAAGAAATTGGACAAATTCAAGTCTTACCAGCTTTTACAAAATCTGTATACTTATAATGAGGGTCTCCTTTAACACCGTCTTCAGTTACTGGTGTGTACATGAAAACTAAACTTGAACCAACATCATCTATGGTGGGCAGATATTCCTCACCCTCCGCTCCAGCAATTACCACAGGACTGCTATTCCATTTTCTCCTCAACCAACTAAAGAAAAGAAGATAAAACAAATGGCAAAGTTGAATAATATCATTTCTAGTATAGCACATGCATATGAATACACGTGATCTCACCTAGCAACACCTTTTCCTGGAGTCCCTCCGCACCAAGCAACCTCAGCACAACCCCTTAAAATACTTCCTTCCACAAGCTCCCCTTGCACTTCAAGGCCTACAACCTTTGGAATTCCACTTCCTAGTGCAAGGTGTATGAACAAAAATATCATTAATGCATGTAACATTTAATCGCTTAAACATAATGAAGTGCAAGGGGTTGCGCTGAGAAAGGCCAACCACTTCATCACTAGTCTTTCTAGAAAACAAAAACTCCAAAAGAAAGCAGAACTTTTAACCCATCATTTTCACCATTTATGAAGGATAATTAAATAGTATTTCTTCAGGAAAAAACTATATATTCATCTCAACAAAATATACCCGTTGGTGTAAATAAATCTAGTTCATATGGTAATTTTACTTTCAGCAATTATTAAAATAGTGAGTCCGTTGCAGCAAGGATAAATAAGTGTGCTGATTACTTGTAGGCTAGACTTGGAGTATCTTCTATACTAGTTAGAGAAAGTATTAGTTGCTGAAGTTCAGTTACTGGATTGCAAATACAGTAGACTGACCGTGTCAGCTGTGATGCTTCATCTAGCTTTTTACGGTCACAAGTGTTTGTATGCTTTTCATTAATTTTAATTGGGTTTTGTTTGTGATAATTTGAAAAATAAAAGAGAGAATTTGAGAGAATGTAGCAAGTGTATACTGATCTACCAGGCAGTCTTATTTATAGTCATGTGTACAAGTCAAGGAATTAATGACAAATAAATGCAAATCTTGTATGCCTACTCAAGGACAAGTCAGCCCTAATTATATACAATTCTACAACAATAAGTAATAAATCAAAACTTATTCTCAACAATCTGTAACACGCAGAAGTTTGAATAACCTTTAGCTTAAAATAATGAGCGTATGCCTGATGAATATGGAATGGATTAAAGTTTGTTAATCACTAAGGAGCTAAACTTCTATTGTACGTGCTATCAGTAGCGTTTAGCTTAATTTATAATTATGAATAGACACGCAAAGTACCAACCTAAGTATATATCAATAATCCCATTTATATTTATTTTTTTTTTGCCTCCAGAACAATGTACAAGAAAATTCATTTACTAACACATAGAAACATCTTGATGTCCGCTTAGAGCACAACAAAGTTAACACATTCCCCATGCATTTCAATTTTTCAATTTAACAAGGATACTAGCCAAAAAATTGAGAATTTCTAATTGAACAATAAATTAAGGCATCAATGGATGTTTACAAGTTTCAAATAACAATTAAATCTATAGAGAATTGAAGAGTAAGAAAAGGAATTTATTGTTCATTTCTTTTCACTTTGATGCCAAAAGCTCCACATTTCTCTGCAGACAATTCATGGACCACTTTAATAATGTTGGACTAAGATAGCTATAATTTAAATATGCATCAATAAGGAATGTGAAAAGCCTACCTGGTAAAACTGGTGAACTGATGGCCAATATGGGAGGATACTCTGTTTCTCCTAAAATGGGAGTACATTCCACTTTCAAAAATTTTTTTATGTCTTCATGTTTTGGCCAGTAAATCTGATCATAACATAAGGCCATGGACAAACAAAGGTTGTAATAGAAACTTCAATAACAACAAATTTCAAGAACTAATAATCATGTAACAACTCATCACCTTGTTAGTAGCACCTGGAATTGGAGCAAAATTTGAAAGTGCCCTCTCACCAAGAAACCACTGATATTTCAAGGTTAATGGTTGGTTAACACTCAGTGAATTATCTTCAAAGAAAGTAAAGTGACAGCAACAAGAATCTTCTTCCAAAGGTTGGTCTACAGAGGCTTCCTTGAGAAGAAAATTGGGAGGCAGGTGGTCCTTCCATTGCTCGACTAGAAAACGGAAAGTCAACTCTATTGATTGGACCATAAGACTGAATGTTAGAGCCTTCATGAACAAATAAAGAAGCCATTTGGATAAATTTAAAATACAAGTTGATGAAACTTAAAGAAGAAAAAATCACGTTAAAGGCCATAACTTTCAAGAAAGTAATAATATCAATGGAAGGCCATGCACAAAATCCACTCCAAAGCGAAAAGAAAATAGCCTAATCAATAAAAAATTTAAAATCACTTAAGCACGTACATACAAGAATGGTTTAATCACTTTGTTGGTGTCAATAGCTTCACCCCTGCATCAAATTAGTACTGATATATGTAGCATATTCTCCTTATTCAGGTCAAAGGTTTTGGATGGATAAAGGGGGCAAAATTTGTTTTCACTATAACATGCTATATTTGATTGGAGCAGAATCCTCAACAGCACCTCTCAGTTAGAGCCCCTCACTTTTTGTAACAATTTGTTTTTTAATTCATGATTACTTGTCCTCTCACCTACTTTTATTCTTCCTCCTTTTCCCTCCAATAAGAATGTTTTCAATCAAAAAAGAAATGACTCTTCATCAAAATATCAAACAGCCCTTTTATACAACATATATGAAGAGAAGCAGTCACTTGCTCATCAAAACCCAAAAACCAAAATAATTGCAATAAATCAGTGGTGTTAAAATAACACAATTGACAAGATAGACATAGATGTAGCGTGAGTCTAGGCATAGGACTTTTTACCTGTTGCATGCTCAGGGCGGCTAAACTCCCAACCATCTCTTATACACAAAGCTGTATGTGCAGGATAACGTTTTGCTATTGCCAACTCCTCACGAGAAAGATCTGCAAAACTTTCCAGTTTCAAACGCTGGTTTGACAAAGAAAACTTGATAGAATAAACAATCACATATAAAGACAGAAAATAAATGAAGTGATAATGTTATGATATTAGGAGATTTAATATTTTTTATGTAGATATTTATCTGTATCACAGGGACAGTGTGTAATTAATACTCATTATGATCCATTAATACCAAGGCTCCTCACTACTGTATATATTCTTATTCGCTGAATGAATAAAATATAACTTTCAGAGCCATATTCTCTACATGGTACTAGAGCAAATGGATTGTGATCTAATTATTTTTTGTGTTTTCTCCAACACAAAGAGAGCGTACAAGAGGGCTTGATTCTTTTAGATATTTCCGGACAAGTTACTTACATCACTGCCTGGACAAGTGGCCTTAGCACCCTCCAATCGGCTAGATCCCGATGTCTAACAAACATCCAAGTAGCATGCGAGGCTCACACGCCAACAACAAATCTTTCCATTAATCCACACGCAGAGCGTTAAGCACCTTTTCCAGCAACATGTTCCCAAGCCTTGGTTCATCCTCTTGGTCCATGTGCATCAAGTTTTACTTATGTTCTAGCTGTTCTTTTTGGTTCCTAGTTTGACCTTTGGTTGCTCTTTGATTATTTCTTCCGATTCGTGTCTCTAATCTCATATTCATCTTTGTTTTCTTACTATTTAGTTTCTAAGGGTTGAAACTGATATGCAAACAATAAAGATTAAATAGTTTTTGTCAGTTAGGGAGTTAGTTGTTAGGATTTGCTGTTAAGCATCCATATAAGATCCCATATAAGTCAAATAATGGATATATTAAAAAACCCAGAAATATTGTTCAGTTTCTCCACCTCTCTATTTGATCTTTAGTCTCTTATCTCTCTCTATTTTCTGTTTCTCTTTCTCTCTCATCTCTCCTCTTTCAATTTCTTCTTTATTCTACTCTGTTTCTCTCTCTTCATCTCCTTCTATCATAACAGTGGTATCCAGAGCCATTCCTTCCTCCCTCACATGCCCGTCACTCGCTCTCAAGAAAGAATGGCTGACCAGACAGACACAAGACTTACTATTGTTGAAAATCAGATCGAATGGCGAAACTTGTCCGTACAATGGAAGAGTCTCACAATCATCATGAGACATATTCTAATGAAGCAGACAAACACCATAGACGAATTAGAGAAGGGCACCATCGACAATGACAAGAAAGGGAGTACCAACCTCCTACTAGACTTGCTAAGATGGAATTCCCAAAATTTTAGAGAGGGGATGTTCTTGGATGGCTTTTGAAGTGTGACCAATATTTTCAAATTGATAACACCTCAGATGCGTGGAAGGCAATGATGGCCAGTATTCACCTTGATGAGAAAGCCTTCTAATGGCATCAAACCCTAATGCATGCTAGAAGAAGACATGTGATAGGATGGGAAGAATATTCATAAGCAATAAAGAAGAGATTTAGACCTACCTATGAAGCACCTATGGCAGAGCTCATGAAATTGTGACAAACATGGAATCTCGAAGATTATAATGACACTTTTGATGCAATTGTGTGTGAGACCGACCCAACGGAGGATTATATGGTGCAAATTTATCTTGAAGGTTCACAAGAACAAGTTGCTAGACTTGTTTGTTTACTTAAACCAACTACCCTCCAAGATGCTCGACTCCTTGCAAGATTGCAGGAGATCCATTTGGCAAAGGCTTCTGATAAGTACAAGGGTGTTGATGAGACTAGGAGAGATGGATCATCTTAGGCATGTCTATTGGGTCCTCCTCCATGCATCTCACAATCCTCTGAAAGGTGGAAGGATACAAAAGTAGCAATTGGAGAAAATGGGTCCAATTTCATTAAGGGCAAAAATATCATTTCACAAGAGGCCCACTCTATTTCTTCAAAACAAGGGTTTGTCTCCTCTATTCCTTCTATCTCCTCTGTTACTTCGTCTTCAGCGGTGCTTTCTTCTATCTCATATGAAAATCACAAAAATGCTGAACGTAGAAGACGTTGATGATCTTCAGTCAAAGAACCTCTATTTTTATTGTCATAAGTCGTTCTTCAAAGGCCATAGATGTTCACCAACTTAGCAGATGCAAATACAATTAATTGAACATTAACTTGAGACGGCAAAAGACATCAGAGTTACTGGGCAAGGGATGGTAGAATAGCCATTTCTCTGTGTGGGAATGCATTTTCATTGCTAGTTCTAGAGTTCTAGTTCTATTTGTTTTTCTGTTGTTTTTGTCTTGGGGTTCACATTGCCAACCCTTAGGATCAAGGGTTTTGAAAGGGGGAGCATTGATGTGGAAAGAATAAAGAATAAATAATTTTAGTTAGCTAGGGAGTTAGTTGTTAGGATTTGCTGTTAAGCGTCTATATAAGATCCCGTATAAGTCTGATAAAGGATATATTAAAAAGCCCAGAAATATTGTTCAGTTTCTCTACCTCTCTATTTGATCTTTCATCTCTTATCTCTCTCTATTTTCTGTTTCTCTTTCTCTCTCATCTCTCCTCTTCCAATTTCTTCTCTATTCTACTCTATTTCTCTCTCTTCATCTCCTTCTATCATAACAGAAACTAAGTCTTTCGTTGCTCATGAAGTTGTGGGGATATATTTATTCCAAATATTTTCTCTCCTTGTATATCTTTTTTAAGTCTTTATTAGCAATTTTTAGATTTTATCATCTTGTTTTTCTCCCTTGGTGTACATATTCAATTGTATCTTATGGTTTACATTTTCTCCCAAATTTCAACATGGCATCAAAGCCTGCCCTTTTTTCCTAGTTCTCTTCCTGATCCGTGAATATTAGGCATCTACGGGTGTATGAAGAGTAGAAAGTGAGAGTGCTGGATCTCATTGCCCATCTAGGAAGAATTACAAGCCACCAATCAGCCTAACCCAAAAGTTTGAAGGCGAATGGCCACATGTATCATTTCACACGCCACCACATAATCCTATGACAAAACATGCACGACTACACATGCAGTCATGTGAGCTCTCCATTCTAGCATCAACCATCTTCTTCAACAACAATAGGTCATTTCCACCTACCCCTATGACTTCTAAGTTGTGGACACTCTATATTTGTGCCCAGATTGTTCAAGTTGTGTGCTACCAGAGTTGCATGGTGACAAAGATGTTAGGAGATCTGAAAACTTTTGACATAGTGAAACTTCTAGTCTAAATGTTGGTGAGTCTTGGTTTGATAGACTTCGTGTGCAACAATATTCCATTGTGTTGAAAACTTGTGATGGGGAATGATAACTCAATCCATACCTGCATGTGATAATTTGACGTGGTAAGTGTAGGTCAACTCTACAACTCAGTATCTGCATTCTTGGCACAAAGAGGTAACTTCCTTTAGGCCTTAAAACTTAAACATTGTGGATTATTGACTCGGGAGCATCACATCATATAACTAACCGCCACCAACTATTTTCAACTTATGTTCTAAGTTCTTGGAACTTAAAAATTAAGATTTAGATAGGTCTCTTGCCCCTGTTGCTAGAAAAGGAAGTATCCTTATTTTAGAATCCAAAACCCTGAAATTTGTGCTCCACATGCCAAAATTAACATGTAACCTATTATTTGTTAGCCAATTGACAAAATAATCTAAATGTTATGCTAATTTTCTTCCAATCCATTGAATTTTTCAAGATCTATCATCAGGGATGACAATTGATCATGCCAAAGAGTACAAGGGGCTCTATCTCCTTAAAGATTCAACAATGAGACATCAACGTGCAAACAATGTATGCAATTCTATATTAACCTCTAAAAATGTGGATATCGTGTTATGGCATGAGAAAATGGGTTATCCCAATTTTCATTACCTATCTTGCTTGTTCCTATCTCTTTGTTCAATCAATAACCATAATGGGAAATGTGAAGTGTGTGAACTAGCCAAGCACCATCGAACATCATTTCCTAGAGCAACGAATAAACCCACCAAGTCTTTTGCTACTATCCATAGTGATGTGTGGGGACCACAGAACTTGCCAAGTCAAAGAAAGGAATATGCTAGGTCAAAGATAAGAATATGCATCTCACAAAGGAAATATATCAGAATGCTTCGTTGCAAGTCAATTGATACTCCCTTTGTAGTGAAAAAAAGAAGAAATAAAGTAAGGAAGAAGAAGGCAAAGAAGACAAAAGGGAGGAAGAAGGCCAATTAGTTAACAAAGAGAGACATTAAAGTTTGGTAGGAAAATTGATATACTTGTCACATCTAAGAACAAATATTACTTTTGTCATGAGCTTCGTAAGTCAACACAGCACTCATCGAAGGAAATCCACGTACAAGCATGTGCAGAAGTGGGGTACTTAAAAGGTACCTGATAAGAGGACAAGTCACCATAATAAACCTTTTATCACTTACCAAAGAAGAAAGAGGAGAAAGATAACAGAAGTGGATGCTGTAATTCAGATTCTTAGGAATATTACTGATTGAAATTAATCATATTTTAATTAATTGCTGTTAGTTGCTAAATAATAGGACCTCGAGTCTGTTCGTGAGGTTCCAACGTGCTAGTCTGTTAGTTCCAGATTTTTACACAATTATTTTGATTGATTCAGTTGTAAATTCACCTTATAAATATCCTAGCATCCATGCCAGCTGGATATCATTTAGAAATAAATTATCATTTATCAATTGGAAATTCTCCTACCTTGGCTTGTGACCTTTATGAGAGGGAGATTCTTGCTCTAGTAAACTTTCTAGATTTATTCGCTTACTTCCTACTGTTTTGAGTGTTTAATAGTACCTCAAGAAAGGGGTTATTCTTTAAAAGAGGTGAACAACCCAATGTAGAAATATTTGCATATGCTAATCTGGCAGGTGCATCAATTTAACAAACATCACCATCTTCCTCATGTCTAGAGTCAATAAAGAAGCTCTTTAAGCTAGTTCATTCTGATGTTTGGGGTCCATGTTATGTTAAGTCTAAGTTTGGTTTCAAGTATTTTGCCATCTTTATTGATAATTACTCTCATATCACTTGGTTATATTTAATGAAAAATCATTTTGAGTTATTCACTGCCTTTTGTGCTAAGATCAAAACTCAATTTAGCATCTCTATACAAACTTTGCGCAATGATAATGTTAAAGAATAAGTTTCAGCTTCCTTTCCAGCATATATGCTTCAAAATGGTATTCTTCGTTGATCATCTTATGCAGATACCCTAGCTCAAAATGGTGATGTTGAGTGTAAAAATAGGCACCTACTTGACCCTGAGCCTAACTCAATTTCAACTCCCGAGCCTAATGATGTTCCAAACTCTAACCAAGACCTTGACTTGCCTATAGCTCTTCAGACAGGCAAACATAATTGCACAAACCATGCTTTGTCTTTTGTCTCTTATGACCATTTGACTCCTCCTTCCAATTCCTTTATCGCTTCATTAAATACTATCTCTATCCCCCAAACTATTCACAAAGCCTCATCTCACCCGGGTTGGCATGCTGTGATGAAAGAGATGAAGGCCCTTGAGAGTAAGGGTACTTGGTCCTTAGTGGATTTACCAATGGGAAACAAAGCAATTGAATGCAAATAGGTTACTCCCAAGACGAAGCCTAGTGATACACTTGATCATCTCAACACTTGCCTTATTGATAAAGGCTATGCTCAAACCGATAGTGTTAACTACTCTAAGACTTTCTTAACATGTGGTTAATCTCTCCTCAATCAGCCTCTTCATTTAAGTGGCAACTAATTATGGTTGAGACCTACATCAACTGTATTTCAAAAATGCTTTCTTACTTGGTGATCTTCTTGAAGAAGAAGATCACCTGATTTTGTTGCTCAAGGGAGCATGGGAAAGTGCCACTTGAGAAAGTCCCTTTATGGCTTGAAGCAAAGTCCTCATGCTTGGATTGGCAAGTTTAGTGATGTGGTTCAAAAGTTTGGCCTAAGTAAAAGCAAGAGTGACCATTCTATGTTCAATCAAAAAACAAACATTGGCTTAATTCTCCTTTTCAAACAAAGATTTGGGACTATTGAAGTATCTTTTAGGAATTGAAGTTTTGAGGAGCAAGAAGGGCATTCTTCTAACTCAGATAAAATAAGTTCTTGATCTATTAAAAGAAATAGGAAAACTAGAAGACACACCATGCAGCAATCCAATGATCTCAAACCAAACCTTAATGCTGATAAAGAATGCATAATTTGACCAACTTGAGAGGTATAGAAGATTGATTGGGAGATTAAATTATTATGGCAGATTCAGAGCTCCTAGACAGTCCACCAATGAATATTGTGTATTTGTGGGAAGAAATTTGGTGCCATGGAGAAGCAAGATATGGGAAGTTGTTTAAGGTGTACAATCAAAATACAGGGTCATGACACAATATGCATGCAAAGTGTTTTATAGATATATCAATTATTGAAGGAACTTGGCCTAAAAACCTCACTACCAACAAAGTTACTATGTTCATGATAATCTTGTGCTTCATGAACGTACAAAGCACATCGAAATTGATTGTTAATTTTTTCGTGATAAGATTCACGAGGATTTCATCTCCATGGACATGTATGCACTAGAAAACAATTGGATGATTTCTTTTTTTTTTTTCTTTTTTTTAACAAAAGCTCTTAATGGAGCTCAAGTTGAATATATGAGTAACAAGTCAGGCTGGATTAACATTTATGCTCCAACTTGAAGGGGAGCGTTATATTAGGAGATTTATTATTTATTACATAGAATTTATTGGTATCATAGGGATAGAGTGTAATAAATACTCATTATGAGCCATTAATACCAAGACTCCTCCCTCCTTCTCTATATTTCCTCATTCTTAGAATGAATAAAATAAAACTTTCAGAGCTATATTATCTGCACATACTCAATAAGAATTAAGCTGTATTATTCTTCTGGTTAAACCTGGCAACAATATTAAGAATACAAAGGCTAAATATAATTTTACCACTTGTACCTCTATCATTAAATTTTTTCAAAGTAGACCCCACAAGCAAAATTGATGCTGCTTCCAGATGAGGCATCTTAAGTATAGGGTTCTCCTCCAAACGCAAATGCTACAGTACAACAAAATCATTGACAGCAACAGCAGGTTAGCTAACACAGGCAAAAATTGAGTTGCCAGTAATTTGAGGGCCCAAAAGTCACTTGGAAATGTTTGAAATATTTTTTCACTGTGTTGGCAAGATATTATCTGCTGCATTTATCATATGGATATTCTGTTTTCAGCAGCTTTTAATTCTTAAGATCATTATCAACCAGTTTTTACGGATTGAATATTTTCTCATTATAGCATTTCATTTTCCCCTAGAAATTGGATCTGAATGGAAGGTCTGTTGCTACCAGTCCTATTTAATATAGAAGGGAAGATACATATAATGGCAAGGGGTAAATAACAAGGTAAGATACATATAAAAGGAAAAAAATAAAGACAAGAGAAAAACATACAAAAACAAGGAAGAGCTTTCATTCCCTTCACTGCCAGAAAAAACAAAATAAAAACAAAAATAAAAGAACCAAAAGACCATTAGCTAAAATCCAGAGAGAGGCCAAGAAAATATTACTCTCCCAAATAGAACAGCAAGACGAAACTTCCAATTAAACAAGTGTATTATGTTCTAATGAAAAAAAATGGTTAGTTCTGCTCCCTGCTGAGAAGTATTAAAGATTTAAGATCAAGGGAATACTCCAAAGCATCAATGATAATTTAAAAAATAGAAATATAACACAAACGTTAGATCAAGAGAACTTTCCAGCTCGTTCATAAATCCACAAGGGACAACCTATAAGAACAATTTTCAAAAATGCAAAGGGGTATCCAGAAAATTATGCCCATTACAGGCACCCCATACTGCATTGGTCCCCATCAACTTTCCAATATCTTCCAGAAGAAACTTCTACGTAAATACTCTTGCATTCTGTTTTATCCACGGACACCACAAGATAACAAATAGATCACTGCCAAATAACGTTGTGCTTCTTATTACTCCCAAAAGAGAACAAAGTTATCAAAACCCACCTCCAATAAGAGAATAAATATTTCTAGTGCATCAAAACAAATGAATCAGAAGTGTCTTTTGTGAAGTTATAGTATTCATATGAATAAAATTGAATGGAAAGGGATTATACACAACATCGTTGACCACTTGAATAGTTATAGTAGTCATATTTTGTTCGGTACCTTCCTTCTTAACAGGGTATTAGAGCACAAATGTTACTCACCCTAAACTCTAACCTAGTTTCCCCTAAAAGAAGGGCCTAGCCACTAGAGGTTTTATGCCTTCACTTAACAGCATCAAGTAACCTCATAAATATTCTGTAAATATTCCCCAATTAAGATTAAATCATTCAGCTGTAAATCAGTGCTAGATGTAAGTCGGATCAAAAGGATCAGTTTTAGGATTGATCTTTATTAGTTCTGAATTTCAGAAGCAAGAGAATTCTTTCAACAAAAGCGCAAGAATGGAAAAAGAAGTTTGCAAATGGTGACTATGCAAGCTAAATCGCAAACTGAAGATCCACACTGTGAGAATAGTCAAATTAATATTTATTGAATTTTATTAGAGAGATTTACTCCTTAAATATAAGGATATAATTGGATGGGATCATGGGAGTTAATATTTTATTCTTAATTTGATTTTATTCCCTGTATAGTTTTTGTTTATAAACTATATATACATAATGTGCATCTGTGAATAAAATACAGTTTTTCTAATTCAAAAACACCCATGGCATCAAAGCTGGCTCAATTAGTCCAGATCCCCAGTCATTGATCCCACGAATCACAACTCATCCGTGAGCATTCTCCTCTATAAAGCCGGTAATTTAGATGGCAGAGCTTATTCGAATCGAGCTTAAAGCATCCTACCCTTTTTAAAAAACTCATATAGTCAAGCCCGACCCTAACACCTTCGAGCTTATTCGGGCAGGCCTGAATATCCAAAACTTTTAAAAAATATTTTTCCTTATCTTTTGAATCAATTTTAATTTTTAAATAATTCTGTTAACCATAAAATAATATTTTAACTTCAAAATAATAAAGTAAAAAATAATAACTTATCAACTTTGTACTTAAATAACTTTGTTAGTATTGTGTTGTATTATGTGTAATTTATTCATAAATGTTTCCTTTGCTTATAAATTAATGTCTTAGCTGTTTAAATATTACTCTTATCATGATCATATATAAATATTTTATATATTTTAATTAAATTATATTATTTTAATTATGATCAAGTTGATTTCAATTCACGTTAGACCACTAACTTAAAATCATTGTCCCGATTAATTCAAAATTTTTAATAACTTTTGGGTAAATTGTACTTTTCAGTTTTAAGAATATAAGAAAAATATTACTCTTATCATGGTCATATATAAATATTTTATATATTTTAATTAAATTATATTATTTTAATTATGATCAAGTTGATTTCAATTCACGGTTAGACCACTAACTTAAAATCATTGTCCCGATTAATTCAAAATTTTTAATAACTTTTGGGTAAATTGTACTTTTCGTTTTTAAGAATATAAGAAAAATAGCCATCATTATATTATACAAAACAAAATCATTTACTTGAGTAAAATATTATTTTTTTGGAATTATTTTTCTTTAATTTTTTATATTGTTTAACCTCTACATACAAGAGGTATTTACTTTAGCTTATTTTTAATTTTACCTAAGTCTAGTATGGATGATAACCAAATAATTATCCAAAAATATTGCTCTATTTATTATGTTTATTTAGTAGTAGAGTCGAGAATTCGTACATGCCCGAATTTTATTTTTTAAATTATTTTAAATTTTACTTTTACTCTAAAATTAATTATCTTATTTTATTTTTTATAACGCAAATGATTTATAGGACTCAAAACTTTTTAAAAAAATTGGATCTTAAAATATAAAAATCAATATTAAAATATATTTTAAATATTATTTTGAGATATTTTATTGATTAAAAATAATAATAATATGAAAATATAAATTTTTTTAATTTTTTTAAAAAATAACTATAGCAAGCATTCAAATATATGGTATTTTAGTAGAAAATGACGTAATACTTAAAGAATTAATTAATATTTATTATATTTTATATTTTTAAAAAAATTTCAAGTATTCGGGCTTGGCCCGGATTTTTTTCAAGCCTAAGCACTAAAATTTTTTTTTTGGCTCAACCCTAAATTTTTCAAGCTGGTTTGAGCTGGCTTGTCAAACTCGACCTAAATTACCAGCTCTACTCCTCTAGCATGACTGGCATCGCACGACACACATAAGTCCAAAGTCGCACAAAGAACACGTTAGTCAACATTTTTTTTTGTGTGCTCGTCTTCCGTGAGCGTCTCCTTCTAGCGCAACATCCTTAAGTCACGAGTCGCACGAGAATGCATCTTCATCAACGTTTTCCTTTGCCATGGTATCATCCCCCTCAGTGTTTGCACTGTGCAACTCCCTCTCTTCAACTTCCGTCACCAAAATCACATCACACCCAAAGTCAAACTCATGCATTCCACACCTTTCAACTATGGGTATTGGTTCTAGGAAAAAGACTGACTCAAACATTGACCCATATGGCGGAACTCCCTAAGGGTTGAGTTCTGCTGAAAGGACTTCTACTCTTCTCATCTCAAAAAAATTTAATGGCTACAACTATCGTGAATGGGCCATGGCAATCAAACTTGCTATCGGGGGACGAGGCAAGCTGGGTTTAATCACTGGCCACTCTAAGGCTCCAGATGCATTGGACTTAAAGGCTATAGTGAAGTGGGAGACTAAAAATTCTATGGCAGCTTCATGGTTGATCAACAATATGACACCACAATTCAACGCTCCTTCATGCCTCTTCTAATGGCAAGAGATATTTAGGAAGCAGTTAAGCAGTCATATTCAGATGGTCAAGATGGTGACTGACTTTATGATTCAAAGACACAAAGTTGGCATATCAAACAAGGTGAACGAGAGGTAACAAAATTCTAGTTAGACCTAGTTGCTATATGGCAAGCAATTAATCTCAACACAAAAGAGAAATGGCCATGTTCCAACAATGCTGTAAAGTGCAAGTATCGGATTGAAGATTGGTCTTTCAATTCTTGGTTGGCATTCATCATTCACCAGATGACGGTCGAAGTCACATATTGGCTCGCTCCCCATTACCATTAACCCATGATGATTTTGCCGAAGTTTGCCAAAAGGCTTCTCGTCATAAGGTAATGTCACCTATCCCTTCTTCTATTCATCCTTCATCTGAATCTTCTACTTTAGTAAGCAAGCATTTTGATCAGGGGCAAAAGGATGCAAAAGGCAAAAATGTGTGACACCATTGTAAGAAGACTAGCCACTCGAAAGATAAGTATTGTGATCTCCCTAACTAAAAACCTCGTAAAGGTAAACCCTCATGGTTACCAGGCTACATCTGAGTCTGCACAAGACAAACCTACTTCCTTACTAGCTGTTGATAAGGACAAATTAAATAAACTTATAGAAATGCTTCAGTCCTTACAATCCATCCGTCATCTTCTCCATCACATAATGCTTCAATGGCTAAGAAAGGTAATTCTCATCATGCATTCAACGTTTGCTCCGCTAACTCTAAATGGATTGTTGATTCTGGGACCTTTAATCACATGACTGCAAATTCTACATTATTCACATCATATGTCCCATGTAGTGGACGTCAGAAAATTGATACAACTAATGGCACCTTTTCTACTATAGCTAGAAAGGGTAGTATTACTGTTTCTGAATTTTTTTAGTTAGATTCTATTCTTCATGTCCCCTATCTTGCTTGTAATTTGTTGTCTATAAGCAAGTTGACTAAACAAGCTCATTGCAATGCTCACTTCTTTTCCACTCATTGTATTTTCCAAGATCTCTCATCAAGAAAGATAATGGGCAATGCTAAGGAGTGTAATAGACTCTACTACCAAGATAAATCAACCGTGAGTAATCTCTAGTCTCATATCCATTGCAACCTTGCATCTACCTCTCAAAAAGTTGATCTTTTGTTATGGCATAAAAGAATAGGTCATCCTAATGTCCATTACTTGAGTCGTTTGTTTCCTCATTTTTCATCTGATAAAATTTCTAGTTTTCATTGTGATATTTGTGAATTGGCCAAACATCCTCGATCTTCATTTCCGAGCTCTAAATACAAGCCCTCTCAATCTTTTTCTATCATTCATAGTGATATGTGGGGTCCTTCTCGTGTCCCTAATCGAACCCATGCCAAGTGATTTGTCACTTTTATTGACAACCATGCTAGTGTGTGCTGGGTATATCTAATGAAAGATAAGTCTGATGTGACATCTATTTTCATTGAATTCTTTACCCATGATATTGAATCAATTTCACACATCCATTAAAGTTCTCCAAACTGATAACGGTGCTAAATATGTTAATAAATCTTTGAGTGACTTCCTTAAGTAGGGAATAGTTCATAAAACTTCCTATGCTAACAGCCTTCAACAAAATGGGGTGGCTAAACAGAAAAATAAACATTTACTTGAAGTTGCTCGTTCTCTTCTGTTTACCACAAATGTGCCTAAATACTTCTGGGGGGATGCCATTCTTACTGCCACTTACCCCATCAATCATATGCCTACTAAAATATTGTCCAACTCTACTCCACTTGAGTGTCTTCACCAAACACATTCTCTGTCTCATCTTGAGACCAATCTTCCTTTGAAAACTTTTTGGTGCTCCACCTTTGTTCATCTCCATTCATCCCCCAAACTTGAGCCTCAAGCTGTCAAGTATGTGTTCTTGGATAACTCCTCCACCCAAAAAGGGTATAAGTGCTTTAATCCTTCACTTCCAAACATCTCTTTCTTAGCCATGACATCACTTTCTTTGAACATGAGTCCTTTTACCCATCTCCTTCAATGCAAGGGCAGCATTGAAGGGAATTTCAGTTTACTCTTAACCATGAGTATTCTCCTAATGACTCTCTTAACCACCATACTTCTCTTGATATTTCTCTTGAGCCTGTACCTGTACCTTTTATGCCAAAAGTAAAAGAAAATGAAGGCTGAGGAGGAGACAAGGATGCAGGTACTATAGGTAAAGAGATCAAAGTTTACACGCAGGAGATGAAATAGGGTATAAAAGCCCTCATACCTGAGGCAGTACCAGAATTAGAATCAGTAGGAGATTTTGGGAGAGAAAGTCTTGGAGAGGAAGGTGAAAGTATTGATGAAAACCTTGATATGGAGAAGACCTCAGAAGATGATCTAGAATCGCCAATTGCCCTCAGGAAGAAACCTTGGTCTCATACACAACATCCCATTCAAAAATACTTGTCATATGAAGCCCTATCCCTTGGTTATCGAGCAATTATTGCTAATATAGATGGTGTTAGCATTCCTAATAACATCTACGAGGCCCTAAAAACAAGGGGATGGAGAAAGGCCGTCCTAGAAGAAATGAAAGCATTAGAAAAAAATGGGACTTGGGAGACTGTGCAGAAGCCAAGGAACAAGAAGTTAGTAAGTTGCAAATGGGTTTTTACCCTTAAATATAAGGCTGATGGGAGCCTCAAAAAGCTGAAGGCCCGATTGGAGGCTAGAGGGTTCATACAGACTTACAGCATTGATTATTAGGAAACTTTCGCACCAATGGCAAAATTGAATACTATCCAGGTACTTCTATCTAGAGCAGCCAATCTTGAATGGCCATTGCACGAACTAAACATCAAAAATGCCTTTCAGAATGGAGAATTGAAAGAAGTTTATATGACTTTGCCCCCTAGCTTCGCTGAGGGAAAGGTTGACCAGGTATGCAAATTAAAGAAATCTTTATATGGTCTAAAGCAATCCCCACAAGCTTAGTTCAATAGATTCTCAAAGGTTTTAAAATTACAAGGGTACCAACAAGGACCATCAAATCATATCGTGTTTGTTGAGGTAAGAGGTGCATCATCATTGTATATGTTGATGATATAATTATTTCTGGTGATCATAGTGAAGAAATACAAGAGTGAAAACTGCTCTAAGAAGAGAATTCAAGGTCAAAGACCTTGGACATCTGAACTATTTCTCGAGCATGGAGGTTACCAGATCAAAGCAAGGTATTTATGTATCTCAAAGAAAGTATGTACTTAATCTCTTAAAAGAGACAAGTATGCTAAGATGTAAATTTGTTGAAACCCCTATTGTCGTTCTGAAGAAGAAGCAAAAATCCAAGAAGGAAGAAGATAACACTATTGAGGAAGAGGAGGATAAGAAAAAAGAAAAGCTAGATGATAAAGAGAGATATCAAAGGCTTGCTGGGAAACTTATCTACCTCTCACACACAAGACCTGACATAGCATTTACTATGAGTGTAACTAGTCAATATATGTGTGAACCAAAGGAAAAACACATGAAAGCAGCATATAGGATCCTAAGGCATCTAAAGGGTACCCCTAGAAGAGGTTTGTTGTTCCAAAATCATGACTGAAGAACTATAAAAGTACACACATATGTAGATTGGGGTGGACATCACCCAAACAGAAGATCGACTACTTGTTATTGCTCGTTCGTATGGGAAAATCTTGTTACTTGGAAGAGTCAAAAGCAAAGAGTTGTCTCCAAAAGCAATGCTGAATCGGAGTCAAGGGCACTTGCTCAAGGCATAATGGAAGAACTTTGGTTGAAGAGGGTATTGGAGGAAATCCATGGCCAACTCGATCTACCACTAAAACTATATTGTGACAATAAGGCTACCATCAACATGGCCTTAAATCCCATCTAACATGAGAGGTCTAAAAATGTGGAGATAGACATACACTTCATGAGAGAGAAGGTGGAAGATGGAATCATATGCCTAACCTTCCTACCAACAAATCTTCAGGCAATAAACATATTGACTAAGGGGTTGCATAAACCTGCTTTCGAAAGTTGCTTAAGCAAGTTGGACATGATTAGTATTTATGATCCAACTTAAAGGGGAGTGTGAGAATAGTCAAATTAATATTTAATGTATTTTATTAGAGAGATTTATTCCTTAAATATAGGGATATAATTAGATGGGATCATGAGAGTTAATATTTTATTCTTGATTTTATTTTATTCCCTGTATAGTTTTTATTTGTAAAATATATATACATACTGTGCATCTGTGAATAAAATACAGTTTTGTTGATTCAGAAACATACAAACACCTAGGTACTATACATTCTTAGGAGGAAACTTGGTAACTATTACAGAGGAGAAAAAAACAATTATGGCAAGATCTAGTGTAGAAGCAAAGTTTCAGCACTTGGCATTTGTAAGTTGCTATGGCCTAAGATTATTCCTAAAAATTGAAAACTACTTGAGGAGATCTAATGAAACTACATTCTGACGATAAGTCATCAATAAATAGAGCTCATAACCAGATTCAACATGACATAACTAAACATGTGGAGATTGAAAGGCATTTCATAAAGAAAAAGCTAGAAAGTAGGCTGACTTGGACCCCTTATGTTCCTGCAGGAGTCCAATAAGCAGATTTATTGGCTAACAGATTGTCAAGAAGGTTCTAGAAGATAATAATTAAGCTTGGGATGACAAATACCAACAGCCGAACTCGAGGAAAAGTGCTGAAATCATGGAGCATTTTAAAATGCTAAAATCATGGAATTTAGGCATTAATTATGAGTAATTTTTGTATTTATTAGTCCTAATTAGTTTTTGTTGTAATTTTTCTCCTTTGTACAATACATATGGTTCTGATCAAATGAATAAAATGCAATCAAAATTTGACCCAGTATATTAATTCAAAAGTATAAAGATGTAAGACCACTTGACTGACCTCATTCTTTATGTCTAATGCAAATAATGATGCCATACTAACCTCAAGAACCGGTAAATATGGGAACCCTTTAAGAGTAGAAATTCTATTCTTGCTGGCAGCTAAAACCTGCAAGAAATTATATTCAATAAAAAATTAACTACTAAATATGAAAACAATCTGAATATAATGGCAAAACTCAACAATAAAACAACCTGGAGTCGAGGTTGACTTGCCATTGCAAGAGACTTCAACTTATTTTGAGCTACTGAAAGGAACTGTGAAAAGAAAATGAATCATAAGCAGGAAAGTATTATGATTTAAAATGCTGCATTTTAAAGTCATAGCAGGATAAAGATTAAGCTGGTCAAAATAAAAAAAACAGGATATTCAGTAAACTGAAGCTTGCCTCCAAATTTGGAAGCTGTGGGAGGCTTGCCATTGATGTTATTTGATTTCCAGCAAGATAAAGTTGCTGTGAAAAATAAATATTTCAAAATGCCATTAGCTAAGCATCATAATCTTTCACTCTATTTGGGAAGCTCTAAGGCAACTATTTAGATGTAAAATATAATAAACCTGCAACATTTTGCAATTCTCAAGAGGCTCAAATCCAGGGCCTTTAAAGTCATTAAAACTCAAATCAAGAACCTGGCATGGAAAGCACCAAATAATCAAACATAACATCCATATAATTATAGTTTCTACAAAGACTCGTTGACCATAAATAAATAAATAAAAAGACTAAAATTTTAAACAGTTAAACCTTTACTCTTGTCAATATTTCAACTCCTTCCAGTGAAGATAAGAGATTGTCTCGAAGATAAACAAACTGCCAAAAAGACCATTGGTTAAAGACTATAAGAACCATCAAAGCAAAAATTGACTAAGGGACATCAAGAGACAACATCAAGTTATCTTCTTTTCTTAAAAGAACTAAGGGCTCATTTGGCAGGAAAAATGGAATGGAAAACGAAATGGAAAGAAAAACACTGGTTTTTTAAAATACAAAATGTCATATATTTCCCCAGATGAAAAATAGTAATAAAAACAAATAGTTGTTGTTGAGAAATGATTACAAGGATAAAATCGATATTACAACAACCAGGCTTTTGTGCAATGGAAAAGATTTATTTTCCTTAGTTTCTACCAGAGAGATCCTAAACCTGACTTCTTGTCCTTAAAGTAAATCCTCTTAAAAAATTGGATAATCAGTTGATGAACATCAGGTCATATAATATATGATGAATCATTATTTGATGTTATTAACCCTGTTACTTCCTTTCTAACCATCAAAATTTCAATTAAGTAGTGTGAATTCCATCTAGAGGTAGCACACATAATTTTGAGGTACCTCAAAATGGCAGCAGGTAAGGGAATCTATTTCAATGAATCCTAATTGAACACTAGAAGTGTATCACCATGCAAATTGGGTAGGTTCATTTACCGGTCAAAGGTCAACAACTGGTTATTGCACCTATATTTGGGAACATTTAATAACTTGGAGAAGTAAAAACAACCAGTCAGTTGTGGCTCACAACTGAGCCTTTGCCCTTGGAATCTATGAAGGTATTTAGCATAAATGTCTCCTAGAAAAAACTACAGACTAGATATGAAGGCAAGGTCAAAATTCCCTATGACAACATGGCAGCAATGAGTATAGCCAGAAAAAACCTGTCCAGCACAACAGGACCAAGCAAATAGCGTTTGACCACCATTTTATTAAAGGAAATATTGAGTCTAGAACTGTTGATTGCGTGTATAGATCCACAAGATTCAAGAAGCATGTACGATAACTAAAGTTTTACCTAAATTAAGAATTTAAGACCTTGGACTCAAGTTGGAATTAATTAACATTTACACCCCAGCCTGAGGAGGAGTGTTGGTATGTGGACGTAATATTGGGCTTAATGTGAATTGGCCAACTTAATGAATGATCAAATCTGGAAAGCTCTCCAGGTTTAATCCTATTCATTACAGAACAGATTTATCTCTATGAAAGCTCAGATTTCTCCCTATTAAAGCCCAGATCTACAGCAACAATGAAATCCATGAAGGGGCATTATTTTCTTTCCTGTTGTAGATATTCAAACGTTAGGACTTAGTTTCTCTGATTTTCTTTACTTGTGGAGAGTTATCTGAATATAAAACACCAGCTCCACCCTAGTTATTTAATTCTGCCTTCTTCTTGCAAGTGTTCCATGATCAATAAAATTAATCAATGAAAATTTTCAGGCATAAAAAGCTAGCACTATCAATTAGATACAACAACAACAATAAACCTTATCCCACTAGGTGGGGTCAACTATATGAATTGCACAATGCAATTATACACTATCAATTAGATAAACATTGAAAATTATACCAAGTGCTAAAAGCAATCTTCTTTGAATAGATATTTCCCACAATAAATAGTGTCGCTAGGAAAATCAGTTTACCTCCAAGTTTGATGATAATTTTAGCCCACTGGCATTGAGATTGCGAACTTTGTGCCCTCTAAGATCCAATCTCTGAATTTGCAACATTGATCAAGAATAAATAATAATTGTGACCAAAAAACCCATAGTATGAGCTCAATGATATATGGATAAAGAGACAAAACAAAGGAAGTTATTCTTCACGAATACAAGGGAGAGATTGCATTAACACAAGCCCTAAGGAAAAAGGAAATGGAGTAAATGCAACCTATGATGCCTATTGCTTTCTAGCAAGCAAAACATCGCCTCTATTATAGAATTGATATACTATGGATATAACAAGCTCACCAAATTTGAAAGGGTATGCTTTAGGCACAACCCCTCTCAGTCATGCAGTAACAGGGTACTCCAATGCTACCATGAAAAATGGGATGAATGACAAGCTATTCGCTATGTAGATAACATAATTCAAATGACTAAACTGACTTAACCATAGTACATCCATTCATCAATGGTTACATACACAACATTTTTGCAATGGTCAATAAAGCATACGACTAACTTGGTGTCAACTTTCAACAAATTACTTTATAATTTTAAAATGGAACCCTTTTGTCTGTAAGTACAAATTTATAATAACAATCCTTATCTCATTAAATGAAATCAGCTACAAGAATCGTATGACATCATTAGGCTCTATCAACAATTAATTGTTCAAAAATATCATTTGTTAAGAAATAATTTAACCATACTTTAAATTCACTGTGATGTAAAACAGGAAAGGGGAAAAGGGGAAAGAGAGAAGAGAAGGAGGAGGGAGAGAAAAAGAAGAAGGGGAAAGGCTGAATCTCTCGAAAACTCTTACTCAATAATACTCAAAGCTGAATACAAATGAAAAACCTAGCTCTATTTATAAAACTCTAAAAATAATAAAATAATAACAATTCAAATTTAAATCCCAAATCCTAAACCTAAATATAATCTTAAAGATACAAATATCTAAGATAATAATAAAATAAATAATAAATTCTAATTCTAATGGATAAATATCCTAATTTAAACATTCCTAATGGATAACTCTAATATCTTAGATAAATTCTAATTATCCTAATTAACCATTAACCCATATTCCATTATTTCTCCCCTACTTGAAGAACCTATCTCCTGACAAGTTAACATTGAAGCACAAATTAACACCGATATGGAAATCCTTTCCAGCAGGTGAGGCAGTGATGGATTAAGACATGTGGAAGATGAACATGAATATAAGAAAATTCTGGGAACCCTTTCCAATAGACAAAATAATGTTGAAGCTTCTAGTTAAATCCTAAGGCATTCTTTGATGAGGTGAATCTGTAGCAAGGCGAGATTGTTTATGGCTGATCACAACTTGGGAAGGTGCCATTTGTACAGAAAGTAGAGGAACTTCTAATGGAGCCTGTGGAGGTAAAGGTACTAGGGCGGACAAACCATTTTCATGATTAGGCTCCATATGAGTTATAGTAAACCTCTTTGATTCTAGTGTTGGAGTTTCAACATCTATCTGCTCATGAGGTAGATTTTGGTTGCTCAGCAACTCCATAATCTATTGAAAACTCTTCTTTATTTTCTCAGTTAAACGTATACCTTCTTGAATCTGATGTTTCAATTCAACATTGGATTTAGCATTATGACATTTGACTTCAGCTATTTGCCTTTATAGTTTAACATCAAAACTTTTTTCTTCAACAATTTGTTGTGCATATTCAACCCTATGACATGCTTCATAACCGCACCATTAGTCATATGCATACCAGTATTGGCATCATTCTTCAATTATTTTCCTCTAGTAGCCTTCATGATACTGTGGACACCCAATACATTGAGGTGGGGTGCCATAATAATTTTGGAACTCCTTGCATGGGCATTCACGGTAATATCCCATATAAAATCATGAATATATAGATCTCAAATATACCCTTCAAATATTTTATATGATGATATGTGGCTTTAAAGAAGGTGTATGTTATTTTATAAATCTCAACTAGAAAAGCAACACAAGGAAGGGAGGTGAAATTAGGCTCTAATACCAAATTGATGTAAAACAGGAAGGGGAAAAGGGGAAAGAGAGAAGAAAAGGAGGAGGGAGAGAGAAACAACAACAACAACAACAACAAGCCTTTATCCCACTAGGTGGGGTCGGCTACATAGATTGCAAGACGCCATTGTGCTCTATCATTTATCAAGCTTTTAGGAATATTATTAATTAAGAGATCGCGTTCAACAACTTCCAAGAGTGTTCTCTTAGGCCTTCCTCTACCTCTCTTAATCGGACTCAAAGTTATATGTTCCACTCTTCTCACTGGTGCCTCCCTTGGTCTTCTTTGTACATGCCCAAACCATCTCAACCGATTTTCTACCATTTTTTCCTCAATAGGTGCCACCCTCACTTTTTCGCGTACGTGCTCATCTCGAATTTTATCTTTACGTGTATGTCCGCACATCCATCATAACATTCTCATCTCTGCTACTCCAACTTTATGCTCTTGCTATCCCGTTAGAGCCCAGCATTCACTACTATATAACATTGCCGGTCTGATAGCAGTGCGATAAAACTTTCCTTTAAGTTTATTAGGCACCTTACGGTCACAAATAACTCCTTTAGCTTTTCTCCAATTAAACCACCCAGCTTGAATTCTATGTGAAATATTTCCACTGATTTCGCCATCATTTTGAATAATGGCTCCCAAATATCTAAACTTTTCCACTTGAGGTATAATTTGATCTCCCAATTTCACTTACAAATTATTGTCGAATATTCCTTTACCAAATTTACAATATAAATATTCCTTCTTACTTCTACTCAGACGAAAACCTTTCGACTCCAATGTCCTCCTCCATAACTCAAGTTTGCAATTAACCTCTTCTCTTGTCTCTGCTATAAGAACTATATCATCTGCGAAGAGCATACATTTCGGGATTTCCTCTTGAATATGTTCCGTCAAAACATTTAACATCAAGTTGAACCAATAAGGACTCAGAGATGATCCCTGATGTAGTCAAATCTTTATAGGAAAATCCTTTGTTTGACCACTAGGTGTTCTTATACTAGTTTTTACCCCCTCATACATATTTTGTATGGCTTTAATATAAGCAATCCGTACTCCCTTTTTTTCCAACGCTTTCCAAAGCACTTCTCTTGGTATACGGTCATAAGCTTTTTCCAAATCAATAAAAACCATGTGTAGATCTTTATCTTTACAACAATACTTTTCCATTAATCCCCTTAGTAGATAAATCACCTCTGTAGTTGATCTACCTGGCATAAAACCAAATTGATTCTCAGAAATACTTGTCTCCAATCTCAACCTGTGCTCAATTACTTTCTCCCACAATTTCATTGTGTGGCTCATGAGTTTAATCCCTCTATAGTTAGTACAATTTTGAATATCTCCTTTATTTTTATAAATAGGAATTAATGTACTTCTCCTCCACTCATCAGGCATTTTCTTGGATCGTAAAATCATATTAAATAACTTAGTTAACCATCTCACCCCTTCTTCACCTAAACATTTCCACACTTCGATAGATATACAATCAGGTCCGTTGGCTCTACCATTTGCTATTTTCTTAAGAGCTTCATTTACCTCCTTATCACGTATTATTCGACAAATTTTGTTCTCCTTCACCAGTTACTAAATCCTCCAAGTTACTAGATGAATCCTCTCCATCATTGAAAAATTTAGAAAAGTAAGTCTCCCATCTATTTTTAATTTCATCATCTGTAACTAAAATTCTTCCCTCTTCATCCTTAATACACCTTACCTGTTCTAGATCTCTTGATTTTCTTTCCCTACTCTTGGCAATCTTATAAATATTTTGCTCTCCTTCCTTCGTCTCAAGGTTCTTATAAAATTCTTTAAAAGCTTTAGAACGAGCTTCACCCACAGCTCTCTTAGTTTCCTTCTTAGCCATACGGTATCTCTCCCAATTTTCCTCATTGTTACACAAATGTATGGCTTTAAAACAGTTCTTCTTATACTTGATTTTGTCCTGTACACTATTATTCCACCACCAAGACTCCTTATCTCTCAGACCAGAACCTTTCGATTCTCCCAAAATTACTTTTGCAACCTCCCGTATCTTTTTAACCATATCCTCCCATATGATGTTAGCACTTCCCTGAGATTCCCAAATTCCTTTATCCAAAAGATTTCGCTTGAAAATATCTTGCTTCTCACCTTTTAATTGCCACCACCTAATCCTTGGTGTTACTACTTGTTGACGTTTTTGGATTTTACTCATAATATACACATCAAGGACTAGGACCCTATGTTGTGTCGTAACAGCATCTCCGGGGATCACCTTACAATTTTTACAAAGTCTTCTATCTGTGTTCCTAACCAAAAGAAAATCAATCTGTGAACTTGAGGCTCCACTTTTGTAAGTGATGAGATGCTCATCTCTCTTCTTGAAACAAGTGTTGGCAATCTTAAAATCATACGCCAATGAGAAATCAAGAAGAGTTTGTCCTTCATTGTTTAGCTCTCCAAAACCAAAACCACCATGCACCCTCGCATACTGACCAGCTTCCCTCCCAACATGCCCATTAAAGTCTCCTCCAATAAAAATCTTTTCACTCTGTGGTATATGTCGAATCAACCCCTCTAAATCCTCCCAAAATAATTCCTTAAGACTGGCTTCTGTCCCAACTTGCGGCGCATAAGCGCTAACAATATTAACAGTCTCACGTCCAATTATCATTTTTAAGGAAATAATTCTGTCTCCAATTCTGCTAACTTCTACAACGTTCTTCTTCCACTCCTTATCTATAATGATGCCTACTCCATTGCGTGCACTTATTTTTCTTGTATACCAAAGTTTGAAACCTTGAATATCCTTAGCTTCTTCTCCATGCCATTTTGTTTCTTGCAGGCAAAGGATATTGATTTTCCTTTGAATCATAACCCCTACAACCTCTAAAGATTTACAATTTAATGTCCCAACATACCAAGTACCAAATCTAATTTTGCTCTTATGAACTAACTTCTTTAGCCGCGTGCGTCCAGAATGACGCGGTAGCCCTTGCTCATTTAACACTACATCCGGGCGCCGATGCAGCGGCTCTAATTCACTTATCACTGTACTCGAGCCATGCAGCGCGTTACTTACGGGCAACGACCTAGCATTAACATTATAACGTCTATTGTCTATGTTCATGATAGATTCAACAAAGTTTTACATTGGCTGTTGATGGCCTAACACAACCCTCCTCCTTTACCCGGGCTTGGGACCGGCTATAAACATAGGAGGGAGAGAGAAACAAGAAGGGGAAAAATCGAAACTCTCGAAAACTCTTATTCAATAATACTTAAAGCTGAATACAAATAAAAAATCTAGCTCTATTTATAAAGCTTTAAAAATAATAAAATAATAATAATTTAAATTCAAATCTCAAATCCTAAATCTAAATATAATCTTAAAGATATTAATATCTAAGAACAATAAAATAAATAATAAACTATGATTCTAATGGATAAACATCCTTATTTACATACCCCTAACAGATAATCCTGATATTGTAGATGAATTCTAATTATCCTAATTAACCATTATCCCATATTCCATCACAATGTTTCAAGGACAAAATCTTCTATATCTTTATAAAATAATTCCCCTTTTATTGGAAATTGATTTTTGTATGCATGAGATTCAAATCCTAAATAGATCAAAAGTCTTCAACTCACCTTCCACATGTATAGCTATGGATAATAAAGCTAACAAGATAGTTGCCTAACAATTGTATCTATAACATTACTGAATCACAATAAGATGCAAAGATACAAAGAAAGCACAAAGATGTCATTCCTTTGGTCCTAGGGTGCAAAAGAAAATGGGGCACGGCTTAGTTAATATTGAAAAAATTATCAATTATTCAATGATAATTCTAATTACAGTAGAGGAGTTTTGCAATTCAATGTTTTGTACGATGTCTTGAATTTGTCAACCTCTTGGAGAATCATCATTTGTCCTTCGATCCAGAGTTTTGTTGTCACATTACACAAAAGTACAAAACTCACATCTATTTTCAAGACAGACACAAATCTCCCCTAAGCAAAAAGTTACACAACACTTTTGTCTAATTATGGATTATAAATTTGTTGACAAAAATGCCCTCCATTCAGAACCTTAGTTGAAAAAATTAGGCATTTACATTATTGAAGGGTGTTTTACCTAAAAACAAAGATAATATAAAATTAAACTACTATATAGAGTAACTCCAGTTTCACTGATATCTATAAAGTAAATCTTGAAAATGAAGAGAAGGTCCAAGTAATTTTAGCAAAATTCAAGGATGTCCATGTAATTTAATCTAATATTAACATCAATGATGTAATTCAGTGAAATAATAATGAATGCACAGCGTCTTTACTTGCTTCAGTTGTAAGAAGGCATAAGAGGCAGTGGGATGAACTAGTATGGAAAGCCTAAAGAAAACAAGATTGCATATCTAGTTCTTTGCAAATTAAATTTTTCATTTGTCGCTAAAATGATGCTTACCACATCGTCACTAGCTTTTATCTCAACCTGTGGAAGAACAATAAAATGAGAGTCTCGGGTTTCAGGAGTTGGTCCTTTCTTCCGACCAGACAAAGTTGAAATTTTATCCTTAGAGGATGACAAGGACCCTGATCTTAATGTACTGGAGATAGATGGTGACCGTGCTGATGAGGAAGAAATTTTAGAAATTGTTCTCCTAGTTGATGAGCTGCAGCTGCCATCCAATGAAGAAGAAGCAACCTTTCTTGAAGAAGAAGATACAGGTGATGCTATCTTAACCGACGATTTTATTGCAGCCTCTAGCTCTGACACATCAGATGAAATGGATTTCCTCAAACTCTGGCCCATTGGCGAGGCTGGAACTGATTTTCTAGTCCCCGAGATGCTAGCTCGGGCTGAAGCTTTAGCAGGAGATGAAGACACAGAACCCCACCTAAGCTCTGGAAGGGATCTCCTTGCAGATTCTGCAACTGAAGAAAGCCTGCCTTTTTTCCTGACAGTAGAATCAATACAGTTTTTTGTTCTTCCATCAGACTTCAATGGCTTCTCAAGTAATCCTCCACTACTATTTCCTCGTGCTACAGATACTGAAGTTGTAGAACCACTAGAAGAACTAGTTAAACCCGATTTTTTTGCACCCAATGTAGAATCTGAAACATTTCTAGGTCCTACTCGTTTTCTGACAGGAGCACTTGCAGGGGAGCCCTTTGACCCAACTGCCACCCTAGACTTTCCAACTCCAGAAAATCTTTTCATGGTTTCTGACGAAGAATCAACATGGGCCAATTCTGAGGGAATTTGGGGATTTTCTGAAATAAATTCACCAGATTGTTCTGAGGACACCTCCATTTTCATCTCCCAGATAGTTATTCAAAAGTAGGTCTTCTGATCCAACAATATAATAAAAGTCAGTTAGATAATATCTACATTGTCCTAAACAAAGCACCTCCCATCCGAAGCTTAACAGCAAGAAAGGGTAATAGGACACAAATTCTAATTCTAAGCATAAAAAAGGCAATATCGTAGCCAACATTAAAGCTTCAACAAATTTGGAAATTGGAAAAGAAAGAAACTTGGGCAACAAAAGACTAAATGGTAGAAGTAAAAATGCATAAGAGTGAGTGCAGACGAAATGCAGCTTCTGAAACTAAATTCCATGCTACCGAGTTTCGATCTAGGGGCAAGAAAGGGCCGAATAGCATGCAGACGAACTGAAACAAGACGCGTAAAGGAGCGCACGCACCAAACTCATTCAAAGGTTCATAATGGACCAAAACAGGATAATAGCCTCACCAGCAGAATGCATAGATCTAGCAAAAGAAGACGCTGGAGCTAAAACCGAAACTGAATTTGGACATTCTAGGGTTTGATAAGCTGCAATTGCAAGGGTCGGACATTTTGCAGAGTGGCACGAAAAAGCAAAAGAGAGGGAAAAAGAGACATTAACCGGGGCCGGTGTGCTGAAGTTGAAAAAGCTAGAAAAACGACAGGAGGAAGTGGGACTTTCCAAACAAAAAACACCCCAATCTCATAGGCATATTATTAAATTGACAAGATAAAAATAAAATTATAAATAGAATTCTAATTTAAACATAATTGATATATAGGAGTTATAATTCTTATAAATCTTAATTTATCAAAAATGCTAGAATTCAATTTTATCATATTGACCATGGAATTGCTTCAATTTGTGGACACCACTGCCCTCATCTTTTTGTCCATTTATAATAAGGTAGGTCTTTTTAATTTTGAGAAAAAAGGACAATTTGGTCTTTTTTTATTTTAAGTATATATATAAATTAATATTATATTAGAATTCCATCTTCATACCAAACACAATTTTAAAAATTAATTCTATTTCGATTTCAATTTCAATTTCGATTTCGATTCTAATTCCATTAAAAACTCTTCCATCATATCAAACAAGGCCTTAATACTATTTTAATAACAAATAATTTTATATTAATTTTTATTTATAAATATTTTTTAGAGTCTTTAGATATAATTCTCCCTTCAGTCAAAATATATATATATATATATATATAATTCTCCCAAATTTTTTCATCATATTTATTTGGAAAAATAATAATAAAATCACTTCAAATTATATAAATGACAATCTCTTCCTCCAAAATATTATAATTCTACTGAAATTCCTTAAGATCTTTTTTGTCAATAAATTTTAAATTAAAAAAATTATTTTACCTTTATTAGTAATTTTTTGAAAAAAAGTTGTGATTCTTTTGGCAAAAGTTGTGAATAGGATTTATTATTTCAAATCTAAATTTTTCCAAATTGTTCTAATTGCGTTTATTAGGGCTGTTATGGGTTTTTATGTTTCCGTTATCTTGTGTAATTAGTTTTAAACTATAGTTTGAGCTCAAACATCTTTTAAAAATAATATTTAAATTTCTTTCAAACATTGTTATGATCACTACACATAAGGAATTTAGTTAATCCTAATTATCATAACATTGTTCTGTGGCTTATATTCTATGTGTTTGGTAATGTCAGGAATGATATTACAAAGGTTCTCTTACTCACTCACAGCACATGGATTCCCCCTTCTTGAGTTACAGGGTGTTATAATTGCTCGACCTATACTATTCCTTGTAGGAATAAGTGATATTGAGTATCATGCCCGATCCATACCATATTTGTCGACTAACAACACTAAACACATGTATTTAATAGTCATGCCAGACACTATTCACAAACTCAACGAAGGCTATATCACACAGACTCTTAGGTGAACTCCTACCTATCCATAATCATACAAGTTCAATATACAAATGCATTGGCATACAGATATCCATATTCCAATAATTCAATAATTCCACAATTCATAAACTTCTATGTATTGCTCAACATATAATTCATCATATCTAATTTAGACTCAGAATTTCATGGTCACATAATTAATAAATTGTCAATTCAAGGTCATCAAATCTATAATCATATAGTCATGTACCACATATTTCCGCCAAGCATAACTTCAACACAAGAGACAAGTATCATAACTCAATTATAAATCAACAAGGCATACATAATTATACTCATGCTTATATCCCTTATTCCATGCCATGAACAACAATAAAGAATTATACTAGAAACCACAATTATCTACTAAAATTAAATTATCGATTCCTCTAACTCTTAGGTTTACCACCCCAAGAGTGTAATTTAGATTTTCGATGGAGCTTTCTAACAACCCAGCAAGCTCTAAGAAATCAAGCTATAGATTGAGGTTAACATACATTATTAATGATTACTTGTTATTAATTAATCCTTAATTCTGATTAAGATCTAATACCCTCATTAAGCATGAGTAACTAAAGTTAACCACAAAACTCATTTCCATTAGCTTGTTTAACTTCTATTAAGCTCAATAACCCTACTAGTTAATCTCATTAGCTTAAATTTAATTACTCAGTATTAGGGTTAATCTTAAACTCCTCGTTAATAGCATTTAATGTTGCCAATTACTCAAAACCCATAATTAAAAGAGTTCAACAATGCCCATAGACCCCATTAAGTCTTTAGAATGACATAACTTGGTTCCATCCTTAGACAACACCTTAATTTATCGAGAACTTCCAAGAAAATGTAAGAAGAAAGGAAAAGGAAGAAGGAAGCTTAACCAAGGTATTACATGTAATATCTTTACCCATTAAACATCATTAACTTTTAGATATAAGGTTTGTGATCAAATTGGAAGAATTTTGAATATCATTTTCACTGCTTGTCTATAAACAAGCGTTAAATAAGCAAATGTGCTTACTTGTGCCATAAATCTTTATGTTGAGGGAAAGAACCAGATGATTAGGCAATCCCTTTAAAAAGGTTTAGATATTAAAAATGTTTTTTTTACACGTTCTGTTAAGTAATTACAAGGCTACCTCATTTATGCCAAACAAGATTTCCTTCCCTTCATACACTTATTGCATCATAGAGAAATGAAAATTTAACTTACAAGGGACCCAAATCCCTACATGATTAAAGTCATAAAAATATTAGTCTTATAACTTGTTTTTGTTTTTTTTAAGGAGAAAAAAAAGATAGTTAGTTTTCAGACATTTATGCACAAGAGTCAACTAATTCTTATTAAACAAAGCTTAACTAGTCATTTGGGTAAATGAGAAATTTCCAATCTCCTCCCATTTTTAATTTCTCTTTAGGGAGTTAGGATTAACAATTAGCCTATGACCAATAAGAACCGATACATGGCTAATGCTTTACCTTTAAAACGAAATGTGTTATTTTACCTCTTAACAAAAAAAGTTGTTTAACTAGATTAGTTGATAAAAAATGCATCAACTCTATAATGTTATTTCTTTTGAGGAGTGTAGATGAAGTGAACTTAAAGTCATTGGGGTCAATGACCCAAAGAGCAACATGCCGTGGTGCAGCGTGCACAAGCCGCGATGCATTGCTCTAAATCACAGTACATGTTTTATTTTTTCAACCATTTTTGACTTCTTTTACTCCTCTGAGGTATCTCATGCTTCCAAAACTTATTTTTACCCTGATATGAAAGATTTTAATCAATTGTAACTTGTTTCTCTTTAGAAAACTTAGGATCCCTTGCTTTTGAATTAAACCTTGATAATCACTCTTTGAGCTAATCCTTTGATTACCATGTGTTTCATTAATTAATTATGTTTAGCAAAGTAAGAATGTTTCAACTTGGTATCAGTTTCTTTGGTTCTGAGAACTGGTCTATGGTTTGTGCGAATGAGCACTGGAGATTTATTATGCATTGCATATAGAGAATTGACAATATCCTATTACACTTGTGATTTCCCTCACCGAGCTAGTGCTAACTCCTTTTTTCCTTTTTGGGATCGGTTCAATCCTTAGGAGGGGAGAATATGGTGCAAACAAGAGCCACAAACGTAAGAAATGCACCAAGAAATGTGCAAAGACTAGAACAAGAACCGATGAACTAAGAGTAATAACCAGGACCTCAACAGGGTAACAAGGACAATGCCCTAGATGAATGAGGCATATGATGGTAGAGATTCAAAGAAGAATGGATGGTTATGATGAGATCCTTAGAAGAAGACCTGGGGAGAGTAGCAGGACAGTTGAGAGAGTTGGGGTTGACCAAGAGGAACCTCGAGATGATGCGTACGCTAATGTGCATAGACATAGAGACGAGGAGCATTATGAGGAAAGTATTCTTAAGAGGCCGGTGCGACTAGTGTGGCCTAAGATAAGTGAGTCAGAATGCTCTATTGATATGGCTTTGAAGCGATTCACGAGGTTTAATCCTCCTTCCTTCGAGGGTTCTGCGGAGGATTGAGTAGCTGAGAAGTGGATTGACAGGCTTGAGACCATTTTCTCAGTCATGACCTATACGATTAAGTAGAGAGTCCTCTTAGCCACATTTATGCTTGAAGACACAGCAAAGCAATAGTAGGAAAGTGTGAGGCCGGTGGATGGCTCGCAGTTGACTTGGATAGAGTTCAAGAGGTGGTTCTTCGCCCACTACTTCCCAGCCTTATTTCGAGCAGAGAAAGAGGTAGAATTTCACAGACTCCAATAAGGAAATATGAATGAGGAGGAGTTATAGTGATGTTCAATAAGTTATCGAAGTACTCCACCTATTTGAGTCATCATGATGATGAGTATTAGAAGGCCGAGTAGTTTCTTAATAAGATGAGGCCTGAGTTTAGCCAGTAGTTAGCTGCCTTTGATATTACTTCCTTCGAGGTTATGTGCAACAAGTTTAGAGCTATAGCTAGAAGGAGTAGAGTGATGGAGGAGAAGAAGAGAGATGGTCAAGGGAGATTCTCTTCCTACATGGGCCCTATAGGCGGAATGAGTAAGAAGTCGGGTTTTAACTCGAGTATGTTTGGGAGGTATAATGCTGGAAGAAGCAAGAAGAAGAGCTTCCAGAAGGGTTTCCAAACTAGGGGATCCAACCAGAGGAGCAATGCCTTAAGGAGTACAGGCTAGGTCAAAAATTAGACTTCCTAGCAGGGATCTACGACTCCATCTGCTATAATGCCAGCTAGAGCTCCATAGTGTAATAGATACGGGAAATATCACTAAGGGCAATGTTAGGTTTGCTTCAAATGTAACAAGGTGGGACACATAGCCAAGTTTTGCTCGGAGAACATACTTGCTCTTAATCAGAGATCCGCTATCCCAGGACAAGTCTTCGCCATAACTATTAACCTCTAGAAGTTCATGTTATTTCATCACATTTCCTTAGATTCTAATCCGTTTTAGTTCAATTGTATATGTTTTTATTGCCCAAATTAGGAAAATGTGCATTTTGTTTTGGGCTTGTGTTCTTGGCTTTAATTTGATATTTTTAGCCTAATTTCATGTTATTTTGATTAGAAGCGTTTCTGGAGCTTTGTGGATATTTTTGGAAGGCATTTGGATGAAGAAATCAAGAGCTAATTGAATGATTTTCGTTAGCTGTAAAAACAGTGTAAAACT